CAACACAATGATGTTCTTCAGCTGTTCCATCGAACACAAAACATCTCCGTTTTGGTCTGCAATGGTCATTTTGTCTCTTGCAGAGCTTGTGTCAAGCTGGTGTTCTGATGCTCTCTGATCCCAACGGAATTCCATCTGGCGGTCGTTAAGTTTTTGGAACATATCAAGGATATCTGGAGGGCCAGGCATGAGCAGCATGTCTTTTCGCCAATCCTTGACCTGGTGGTGCTTCTCGAAGAAGTGCTGCATGAGCGTGATTATGCTGCTCTCAGCTCCCTCCCAGGAGCATAAGCATGTATGGCACATAATTGAGTCGTGGGAGAAGCATGCAGGAGTTTTTTCGGGTCTGCTACAGATCCGGATCAACTCGTAGTAGAGTTCATTGAACTCCACGCGGAATTTGTAGCGTTTGAACTCTAGCACAATCTTCTTGAAGAAGATGGATAGTTGGAAGAAGGGGGGGACATGAAGGTCATTGAGTTCCGTAATGGCGCGGAGGATAAGCATGCGTGTTGAAGTTTGCGGTTTTATAGTACAACTGTTGCTCGCAAACATGCAAATTGGATCATCCTTTGTTCCGGGCTTTTTTGGTTTTCTGGGTCTCGGAGAGCCTGTTGTAGAGGTGCTAGCTGATATTATAGGCTTGGTGGGGGCAGCTTTCAAGAATTTAGGGAAAAACTTTGGTCCTCCGGCACAGATCGGAATCTTTTCTGGCCATTCAGCGCCATCCCAGTTCGGGATAGGTCTCTTGTAGGTGTATTTTTCTTCCGGTTGAAACTCCACAGGATACCTCGCAAGCCCTAGCATATCTGGCTTCTTTAGGTGATCCACTGCGAGATGAAAAATAATCTCCTCCCACGTTCCTAGGATCGTACAGTACTCGCAACAAAACTTCACATCGAACCCACCACGGTTAAAGGTTTCCTCGATTACCTCTTCCCAGATGAAATATGCTGCCCTGAATGGCAGGGGGTTCTTGGGGTTTTTCTCATACCAAGTACGTCTGCAGTACTTGAATGTCTCCATGATGAAAGATTGAACCTTTCTGGACTCAAGAAGAAGAATCCCACCTTCCCTTCTGATAAAATCTCTCGCATACTTCAACAGCTTTGGCATGGCAGATTTGAGCTCCCGGAGGTTTCTATAGTCCAATGCCTCCTCCTTACGGACCCTTCGCCTAATGCTTGTGTACTTGCGATGTGCCTGCTCTTTTTCTTGTTGGCGTTGTTGGTACTGCGCCTCGGCTCTTGTTCGCTCGGTTGTGATCTTTGTAACCAGGGTTTTCCAGCCTCGGTCGGTGAGAATATTACCAGCCTTGAGCGCAGCCTGGTAAGACGGGATGAGTTCAAGGACGCCCTCAGGAATTGGAGGCTTAAAGTGTTCTTTGCATTTCTCCGGGATTGAGATAAGACGTTGACGGCGGATTTCAGCGAGTTCCTCACGGCGGTTTACCGCTTCTGTTAAAGGCACATGTTAGGGACTTATAAACGTATCAGGTGATGTTAAATCCCAAGGTCATACCAATCCTCTCGAAGTCGCACATCTTTACCGCCAAGTCCATCTGAACTTTAACCTGGTCCTTTTCATACTCGATAAAAGTGGCGAGGATGCCCGGGAATTCGGCTTCCTGGCTCTTCTTCTCATCATAGGCTTTCCTAAATGCGGCCACTTCGTCTTTCCAGTAGCACGGGTCTCCTCCGCCGAGCCCATAGTAGTTCCCGCGTTGGGTCGAAACGAATTTCCCTGCAAATCAAACAATGAGTAAGACTTTTAAGTCTTGCAATTTCAACCGACAGACATGTTTGATGTGCTGCATGTTTCAGGAGTAGGGGGGGCTCACCCGATACGAAACAATGCCTTAGACACACTTGTGCAGCATTGACAAACTCGCGCTCTCCAGAAATCTCATCACCCTACCAAAAGCATTAGCCTCCATCCGACATCACTTCCGGGAATAAAATAAATGAATGAATGAAAAACATCAAACACATACCCTGATCCTGTTATCCTTAAAACACGCAGTGCACAGCCTAATACCCCAAGTCCAGTAGCATTTTTTGAACCTAGGCGCCCCGCAAATCACGCATCCACTGCCTTTTAACAGATTCCACATGTAGTTCTCGGGGTAGCCATAGATAGGTTCCGGATAGTTCGGGAATGTATTTCGCCGACTCTTTGCCCAAATCTTTTCATCGTCGATGAATCCTTTGAAGCTGGAATTGACCCGACGGAGCTTCGCCAGCTGCGCCGGAGAACAATACGAGAAGATCTCCAGCCATATTTCGAAGGGGATGTGTGAGGAGATTGCTTTAGTTTTCGGGGTTCTTCTGGGCGCCGGCGAAGAGTTCGGGTTCCGCAATATAGATTTCCGGATAGGCAGCCGCACGGACATGCCACCGATGCTTTTTCGACGCTTCGATGGAGGGGCGGCGACGGTTGTGGTGGGGTGCTGGCAAGGCTGCTGCTGCTGCTGCTGTGGTTGCTGTGGTTGCTGTGGTTGCAGGGGTGGCTGCAGTGGTGGGAGTGGGAGGGAGAGGGGAGCTTGCAAGGCTTCGGGGCTGTTGCTGCTGCTGCTGACATGGCTGGTGCCACTCCACGCGGACCAGTCACTCATAACTAAATCCGCACTTGTAGATGTGAGCGGGATATGGGATTCCCAGACAATGCTCCAGTCCGGCTCGAGGACGGAGGGGGGAGTAGTCATCTTGGAGTCTTTCTTTCTTTCCAAGTTTGTTTTTTGGTGGGGCAGTTGTGGTTGCTGTAGTGAATATTTATATAATATTCGTTAGGTTGGTTGTTGCTGAGAGCTCACACTCACTACTACTACTAGTGTTGATTCAACTACTTGGGGTTGCGTTGAGTAAAGCTTTGGGTGAAGGTTGATGTTACTCTGGATAGAGTTTGTGTTGGCTGTGCCTGCCAGATGGAAGAAGCTGGAAAGACAGACAGTAAATAGAGGGGTCGACCACAGCTGAAGAAGAAGAAGTGGAGGGCGGGGTCAGAGGAGATAAAGAAGTAGGCAGAAACGGAAATTCACAAGGCTGACGGAGGAGATGACAGGAGGAGTCAGAGAAGAAAAGAGAAGAAGAGAAGGGGAAGGAAGGGGAGAGGAGAGGAAGAGACAGAGAAAGTGAAGAAAAGAAAAGAAAAAAGAGCAAGCAGTCAAGTCGTTGAGCAATACGTAGTGTGCAGGAGCAGAAGTTAGTTATGAGACGGAGAGCTGCAGGATGGCATGTACTTTTGGATTTGCGGGGGATCGTCTATCGCTTATCGAGAGACTTTGCCAAGCGCACACAACGAATTCTTCCGGGAGGTGAATTGAGTGAGAGAGGGGGGGTTGGAGGGGTGCAGTGTCAAAAGGGCAGGGGAAGAATTTGAGGGCAGGGTGGAGGGATGGCGGGAAGGAAACAGCAGAGGGGACGTGGACGTCTGCGGTTGGTAAGAGGTACAGTATATAGACAGCTAGCACTTCTCTCTAGCGGGGGGGAAGGATGAAAGTGGGATTCTTTTTTAAAAATAAAATACAAAAAAGAATAAGATGGACACGGCGGGGCCATAACATACATAGCATAATAGCTGGCTGGCGTGGTGGCACGGCTATGGTGGACGCCGCGCCGGGGGAGACCAGGCGGGGAGGGGGACAGACAGACAGACAGGCAAGGCAGGCAGGCAGGCAGGCAGGAGAGTGAGGGATGGAGAGCGAGGGGGGTGGACAGGGAGGGGATAGGGATTGATTGATTGAAAAGGACTGAGTCTGAGTCTGAGTCCAAAGAGAGGACGAAAGAGCTCTAAGGAAGGAGACCAGAGATTACTAGGGGAGGGGGGAAGAAACCTTACACTCTTACTGTGTCTTGCCATTAAACACGTTGTTAGCCAAAAGGGCACTTCAACCGTGTAATCCCCCTCTCGTCTATATCATCAAGGTAATCCCTTCATCCCCGTACAATAACTAACAGCACCCCTCCCTTTCATCCCCACTAGCCCCCCTGCTGTGCGTTTGGCAAAAGAAACACTGTGCGGCTCATAGGATGGCGGCTGTATATGTACTGGTGGACGTAGTACTACGTACGGTTGCTGTGTGCTCCTAAGCGGACTGGTGGTAATTGTGCTTGTGTGAGGCTCCAAGATGATTAGTTCGAGTAACTAGGGACGAAAGGCTTTGAGGTCTGTGGAGCGATAGGATGAGGTGAGTTCTGGGCGATATGTCTTGTCTTGTCTCTCTTGTGTGAAATGTCAATGATACTTTGTGTATGTTAAGTTAACTAGACATAAGGCGGGGATCGATAATCTGCAACCCGCACATCCTGCCCCCCCCCTCCCCCCCTGTCAAAATTTCTCCCCTCGATATATCCTATCCCCACTATGCTTCCGATCAATATCGATTAGGCCAGCATATCCACTTTCTTAATACATTATGTAGCCTTCCATTTTCGGCCAAATGAGCATCTTAGAATTCCAGCAGTACCTTGTTGATTAACATTTCTTCTTCCTCTCTCTTACTTTTTTTTTCTTTTCCTTTTCCACCATCAGCATCATCCTGCATGACACTAGACGAACGGGCCTTCCGCTTGCGAAAAAAAAAAATTTCTGGAAATCTGATAATCCGAGAATCTAAAAATGTATTCAATTCATCCTTCACCGATAATAACCCTAACCCTGACCGATTCCGTACTAATTATTTATTTGGCTTATTATTGTTTGCACGTGATGCTGCATGTTAGTCAAGGTCAATTGTTGGCTCAATTAGTCAGTCAGTCCATCCAAAAGTGTAACCTCCGACCTCCGATGTCACCTCCGGAAAACACCAGCTCCCCCGAAAACCCAGGTAAATTGCAATATAGACCTCTAACCGAGCTCAATCTTCAACCCAGAGCAGTGTTTCTCGGCCCCTCAAATGGGCGCCTTTATATCCATGCCTGTCTCTACAGCTTCTCGCCCCAAACACATTCCCCCAAGCGTGCCGCTAAAAAACAAAATCCGCCTGAAAGTGAGACCGAGTGATGGTTCGTGATCAGCCCCATATTAGCTGCATATTGATACGATTACTAACACTGTCTAAGATAACGGCAACAACACCCAACATTTTTTCACTCACCCCCTGGATCATTCCGAGGACAGCTTGCGAGATCTTCCTGCAACTTTATCAACACAAAGACACAAAGGGGTACGTAGCCAGCCAGATACTGTCAAGCCGGTAACAATACCAACCGCATCCACACACATACTTCACATACAGGTCCTCTACATACACATACACCGCTCTACATACCCATACACATCGCCCCCATCCACCATCAGTTACGCACCCACATACACATCGCATACCGGTCAAGGTACGAAAGTGGAAGAGAAAGAAGAAAAGAAAAAAATAATCTCACCACTCACTCCCTAGGCGGACCTCTCACATACCTCACATATTATACACCATCTATTCCTCCCGATCCACAAATGCCAGCTACAGTCCGACTCGTCAACTCCCTCATCGCCACCATAAAGACAATATCTCCAGCGTCCAATTGCAGTAATAATGACCAGTCCTACGATCGACAGCCCTATATCCCACCTACTTACGCTCCCCAACGAGCTCCTACTCAACCTCGGCGAACACCTCCTCCCATGCTCTCTATACTCCCTAATCCGCACATCCCGCCGCCTCGCGATTCTCCTCCTGCCACGCCTCCGCACCCTCGCATGCTACGACGACTTCTCTATCACCGCCCTGTTCTGGGCCGCCGCCTCATCCAACAGTATCCTCGCGAGTCAGATACTGACAAAAACAACCGCAATCTTCAGGATCCTTCCGGCAGCACACACTCCACCGGCCGCCATCACAGCACAATCATCATCACTGCTGCTGCATCCGACCCATGTAGCCACGGGGGAGAAGGGCGGTGAGCTGGTGGAAACAATCAAAGATGTCCTCGGCGCGGGTGCGGAACTCATTCTCCACTATAAATGCATAACATACACCTCTTTATTCTGGGCCGTCGAGGCCGGTCATAAAAATCTTGCCACACTAATCCTCAAATCCGACGAAGAATTGTCAAACATCAACACACTCAATGCGTGTGGCCGGTCTGCACTTCATGAGGCCGTCTACCGCGGCAATTATACAATGGTGCAATTAATACTGTCCAACACAACAACCTGCGTTGACCTTCCAGACGCACAGGGTCGTACACCCCTATACTTGGCCGTTGTAGAACGCAAAGACCCGGGGATGACCGCGTTGCTATTGGAGCACGGCGCAAACACAACATCCTACACTGATCCCGCCACTGGGCGGAAGCTTCTCCATCTTAGCGTTCTTCACCCTGGCACGTCCGCGATGGTAAGTTCACTGTTAGCACATGGCGCGGATCCAACTAGTCGTACATTGATGGGCCAATCAGCGTTGCATCTGGCGGCAAAGCTTGCTGATGCAACCACGGTTCGCGTACTATTGTCAAATGCAAAATGTGCTGAGAACATAAACACGCGGGATATGTTTGGATGGTCGCCGTTACATCTTGCAGCAAAGGCGGGCGAGGAAGAGGTCGTCAAAGTTCTGCTCGAGAAAGGTGCAGAGGCAAATGCAAGGGACGATTATGGCGCCACTCCATTGCATCGTGCAGTATGGGCTGGTAGGGAGAGAGTCTTGGGAATGTTAGTGGAGCACGGGGCTGATCCTCACATGGCCGATGATTCGGGGAAGACCGGATTGGACCTGGCAATGATCAAAATGAGAATAAGAGAAGGGGGTGCAAGAGGTGTTGTTAATAGAGCGTGGAGTGAGATCGCCAATGGCGGGGACATACTTTGAACGTGCGGCCAGGAGTCAGAAAGGTTCGTTTCATAACATGAGGTTTCCGGTGGTATGGGTATGGTTTGTTTCAACCGGCGATCTGGCCTCATGTATGACGACGATCGTAGGAGGGATGTTCTGTTGCCTTTTTTTCTTTTTCGATTCCATTTGTTTTATACTCTCCGCTCAGTGATCTAGTGTGATCGTTTTTTTCCTTTTTTTTTCTTCTTTCTTTTAACGTGGGCCCTCCTGCCTGGTGGTTAAACCCCTCCTCCCCCTTTCCCCTGGGTCGGGGTCGGGGTATCTGACCCGAACGTGCCTTTATTTGTTTGGTTGAGTACTCGTGCGCGTGGTTACTTATCGTTGGCTAATATTTTCTCTTTCTATGGGCGGACGGTTACTGCTATTCATTATTTTTGATTTAAGCGGGGGGATAATTGGGGTGGCGATTCTTGCAATTAGGGAAAGGTACGTGTTTTGGGCCTGTCTGCACGTAGTCCCCGATCAAAAGGAAAATGTAAATGGAATTAATGACGCGGCGGTCAAGAGGGCGGTAATGAAGGTAATGATCCGGTGGGCGTTATTTTGCTTCAAAATAAAATGGAGCTTTAGGGAATATTAAAAACACGTAAAAGAAAAAAGGAAAAGAAAAAAAAAAGGGATCCAACTGACGTTTGTGAAACAAGACGCTGTCATACTATGATAAGACTTCGCCGAAACTCGCATTTTGAAACCTCGCTGTTGACGTTCATGAGCGAGGGGTAAGTCCTCTTCAATATATCCCTCAGGAACGGAGTTTGTGTTTATTACTGCTAGTTACCCCTCACTATTCATCTAATCGGTCGTGTCCGTAATTGAAATCCACTCGGGTGTTGTTGATAGACCTTTTAATACAAGGAAGGTAAAGTTGAGAACCCAGCTCCCCACGAAACAAAACCCGAAGAAATCGGACGAATAAGAAAACGAGTGACGTAACGTGACGCATCTCTCCAGGGTTGTCTTGGCGAGCCAAACGGGAGTCCGGGACACGTTGCGTTCTGTTCTAAATATGGACCAAACAATTGACGGAACCAAAAATGAAGCTGATCGGGTTGGATTAGAATGTTCCTGCCATGGATAACTATTTTAGCTTTACTGGCCTTGGTTGGGTTGGTTAATTGTAGGATCATACGGTGTCACTCGTAGTGAGTAGACTCTGGCCTGCCGAAATGGCTGCTTCCAAGTCTAGACCAATACTAGGAGAGCGAGTCTATCCCCAGAAGAATATTGTTCGTATAAGTTGATACTACTGTTGTAAACCAAACAATTTCGTCTTTTTTCGCTTCCATTAACATCACGAACCTCTTGAAATCTGTGGCTTTCACTGCCTCTCTCTCATTATTTTTTTCAACAATCTATCTCGAAGGCCCACAGTGACCTATGCTTGCTTGATAGTTGATCCATTATTCAAGCGGTGTAAGCGTCCTGAAGGCGCCCGCAAAGCCCGCAAGGCTTTAAGAGATGGAGGCAAATCTTGTCAAGTTAGGGTTCGTTTATCTCTCTTTGGCCCGGGGGGGGGGGGGGGTGGTGTTTTATTAACTTGCGTGATTCATGGTGTCAACAGAGGTAAACTTTTTTAAACGCCTCTCTTGGGATGCCTCTGTATTTGACAGTATGCCAGGTTTCTCAAACGGAGTTGTTTCGGACTGCAAAACCCCATAATTAAAGACAAACGTCTTTTTATAAACACCCAGACTTTGGAAATCGAAACATCCCCTGAGTCGATGAAAAACCCTAATGGTATAAAGAAGATTACTTCTCTGGGGCCTCGAGCACTCGAGTAGCTCAAGGCAAGCAAGTGGTGTTTAGCCTCGTGAACTCCCTTACCTTCAGGTGAAGCTTTGAGCGGCGATGCAACTCGTGGGTCGTGCTGCTGGTGGTCAGTTTAACGCTTTGCAATCCAAAAAGACGAAGTGGTCATATACGTCCAGTGGCTAGAGACCTATAAGAGCTTTAGTTATATGGTCAGTTCGAGGCCACTAGATCAAATCGAGAAGAGGTAAATGTCCCAAGGCATCTATGCCTCCCGTCAGGATCATGTAGGACAGACTGGAGGTTAGCACATACCTTCTTGATCAGACTCCAATTAATCAATGGCCATGCACATGTAGACCGAACGGAATATATATCTTTGATGGATATGGAGATTTGGAGAGATGTTGGCCGTAAGGTGTAGTGGTTGAAGGGGAGGTTGAGAAGGCTGAAAGTCTTTCACGTGCAAAGCCTTGACGTCACGGGCATGGTATCGTGTTTTACGTCCGCAGCTGAGACCGAGACTAGTGCTGATAGTTGTCTATTCTAGTAGAAAGAATAGAAGATTAAGGGTAATTTTGAGCACGAGACAAGCTTTCGGGGAGCTCCCTAATTCCACACTAACCGAGCGAGTGCAAGCCTAGGCCTACGTGGTGACAGCTCAAGTGTCATCATAAGCGCCCACCTGCAGCTGCAGCACAATATGTGCACATGTGGTTAAATGTTAACTCGTTCTCTCGGTCCACAACATGCACCATGAAAAATCAACAACCTATCCTTAATTCTGAGCTTTGCATCGAGGACCCTGAGTCAAGGATTGAACCTAGCTCTAGCCATTAAGCTTGAACCATATAAACCTTTGTCTCCACAATTTAAACCGGTTCGAGTAAATGTATACCGCAGCTGCACTTACTTGTACTTACTAGTGCCAATTGCAAATGATGGTTCTATATCGTGCAAGGGCAGGAGTGAAGACCGAGTGACACTTGGTGATCCATTTAGTAGTAGGATAATTTCTCAAGCTTTCAGTTTTTTTTTAAGAGGCTAATATATAGCTGGAATGAGTCGGAGTAGAATATGGGGGGGTATTTTGGCAGATTTTGACGGCAGAAGCTTGAAAATGCCCTAATTCCCTTGTCGCCTCGCTGTCTTATGTCCACTAAGATGACGATATTGCGAACCAAAAAGCCCACATTACAATATTTCCACTCCTAAAGACCCTTGTTGCCTATGATTAGTCTGGTAGGGGCGAAATAATTGATGGAGCCTGTCCGTGGGGAGAAGGGGGGGGGGGGGGGACACGAAAGCCCACTAAAGCTCTATATCAAGCAGTCTTTTCACTCTTCTCGAGCCCTTGGTAAGGTTTAAACCCCCTAGGGTCTTGTGTCTCACCAAGGGCTCAAGAAGAGCGAAGATTTGCAGTCTGGTTCTTGCGGACTCTGTACATGCCGTACTCTACCCATCTCTTCATGGGAAGATTACAATTAAAACTCTTCCAGCCTATCTTAGGTTTGAGAAGACTGGTGGCGCCCTTTCCTGCAGGAAGAGGCAAGCCTGTAACGCCCATAGAGTACGCGCGAGGCCCAGCCCTCGGTATGGGTTTGTAGGGGAAAGAGGGGGCAAAAAGGAGTTGGGATTGCGATAAGTCATCATATATCCTGCTAAGCTGGCCTGGAGTGGGAATCCCCCCTTACATTGAAGTTTGGATTCTTCTCCTAGGCGTCATAATATTCTATAGCAAATAACGCTATATATAGGACGAGCAAGAGATCCACCTGCGTGTAAAGAAATCAAATAGCTTTTGACGCGTCTACAAGGAAGCCCGATGACCGTAACGGCTTAATATGTATGGGGAGATGGTATTCTTCTAAGCTATACTCGGTACCAATCAGTGCTTAAGCCCTGCTCTATCTAGTCTCAAGTCCATCAAAGGTCCTAGGCACCTAACACCAGTGGTACTCTACGCCATATATCTCTTGGAGGCCAAGAGTGGTTCCTTGTTCAAGTAGCCCTCGTCATCAGGCTTCCATCCACGAGCCTTTATCTTTGGTCAGTGCTAGTGTTGCGAGATAGGTTATGCATCTGCACCACAGATAAAGGTTAATTATAGTTTGCAAGAAACTAAGGAAAAGCGCTATGGATTCGAAATTACTCGGGGTTTCTGGTCAGTGTGTATATATGGCCCGAAAAGCCCGATATCGGTCCTAGCCTCCTATAGAAAAGGAAAAACGAGATAGGCTTCTGGGATATGTTCATGGGAATACTATGGACCAGCGTCTAATGTCAGGATATCTCAAATAAAGGGCCGGAATTTTGCTTCTCAAAGTAACCGTTCGTTAAGATGAAAGTGGCCGGATATTTCATCCCATTCATGACGCACATTCCTACTGAGGTCGCAAACTTTGCCTCGGATCACCCCTCATGGGACGAATTTGAACCCCCTAAGATCTGAGTTATAAGGAATGCTATTAAAATAGCAATATAACGACAGACATCCTATATAAACCCTGGGCCACTGCGGTTCTTGATTATAATAGAACCGGATACTAGTGGATAACGTTGGGCGAGTCTGAGATCCCTAAATATTATTAATTCCATTGCTCAATTCTGGTTGCTCGAAACTGGAATATATACTAGGGACAATATTGATTGATTAACTGTCTTCACCAGTTCCAAGGGCTTCAACAAACTAAAAATATTGAATCATATCAACGGTATTATCAATGATCATGAAATAAATAACAATCCCCCGAGGGAATAATAAAGAAACATACATGCAAGCCCATCATTTCTGGCTGATCATGACGAAAAATTCCAACTCCCTTGGTAAATAACAGCGCCAAACCAACCAAATGTCTCATCGCAACAACTCCCCCATCAATGGTCATCACCGGCAAGCGCCGTTTGAAACTATTGGTCACGGGATCAATAGCACATTTTCTCTTAAGCCCCCCCCTTTATGATACAAATCTCTTCCACCCCATCTATCCCTCACAGCAGCAGCACTCGCGTTCAACTAGCAAGAACCAGAAAAATGCAAGTGACGAAGGCGTATGGAGCGGCGCCGCTCAAAACCAGGCAATTGTATTTTCTGGGTTTTATCTGCTAGCTACCAGCCAGTACACGCGAGTACATGCTGTAACCTCATACTAGCCGCGGCCATTACAAGGGCACTGTAAATAACTCGATCTACCCCGGCGGTGGCGGCGGTGGCGGCGGACTTCTGGGGTGCCTGTGAATATGCTTCGTAGCAATCGTCCCCCCATTGAGTCGAGTTATAGCCGGCAATGCCTAGCGCACCAATACAACCAAAGCAGCTGGTTTTAAGATAAAAAAAAAAACACCACTTCATCAGCTTCTTTTCCCTCGTACAAAGTAGTGGTTAGGGCATAGATCATGTAGCTACCTGTTGCTGATTCTTGTGTATGACGAATCACTGCAAACACACATCGTCTCGTCCCAGGTCTTTTGCCGCGACTGATCGAGATCAATGTCGTAGCCGCAGCTCGCAGACAGAGACCGGAAGTCGAGGCATGACCCTGCTTTACAGGCGTCAGCGGCGGCGGCGGCGTTGGCTTGTGCGTGGATCGCGTGGATCGCGTGGCTCGCGAGAACCACCAGGAAGAAGAGCAGGAATTGGGAGTACTTGATTCCGGGTAGCAGCAGCAGCAGCAGCATCTTGGTGTATCAGAAGCTAGGGCGGCGCTCGTAGCGAAGCTCGGTGGGGAGGGAGGGCTGGAATTTATATGATCGTTCCCTAAATATAAAACCTGAAAAGAAAAAAAAAGATGCACGTGCGTGCGGCTGACTGATCGGGGAAACAGTGAGCACTGACTTTTTGTCAAAATGTCTTATACCTACCGCGACCACACAGAGATGCGCCTGGCCGGCCGATCGAGGCGTCGTCTTGGACAAGGCTGGGGGAGAGTGAGGAGATGATGGGTGCGAGTGATAGTCTGTGCTTCGCCGCTATATAATCCGCGCGTTGGATAACATGTATGTAACTGAACCTCAAACAAACAGCCAGCTGCAGCCCTAGTAGGGTCGATAACATGGCATTGTACATATACCTACAGGCCCCTGGCTGTAGATGCGGCGGCGCCTACTTAAATTGCATCGCTTTTTGTTTGGTACCTGTCGAAAATTGCCTTATACCGAAACATGACCACGCTAACTGGGAAATGTTTTAGACGTTTTATTTTTATTTTTATTTTTTTTTGATTACCAGCCCTGGAGGCGGGTTCTTCTAGAATCTCTCAGTGGCTAAGGGTTAGTTGAGCAAGCTAGCCACTGGTAGGATGTATTGGGGAATTGTCAAAAGCCAACGGCCGGGGGCCTTCGTTATCTATCGGATCTAGGAACTGCCAAACATAAAACCCAGTAGGAGGTATCTACTCCATATACCATATACCATATATGTAATTAATGGACATATACGTATGTGCCTACTCTACTCCTACTCCGTCCGCTAGCTGGCCCATCATCATCATCATCATCATCATCGAGCACTCACGTACGTATGCAAGCCCCATGTCCTAGCTCTTCGTCGAGTATCTAGAGGTACATGTAGGTACGGAAACACCCGCCGCACTCGAACTACATACATACATCACCGATCTCTATCCATACTCCACGCACAGCAAGTGAAGTGATGCACCAAGCCCATTGATTAGCCACATCACATCGTGTTTAAATCCTCGTCTTCGAATCCGTGGATCACATTGTGTTTCTAGCTCCTAGCTCCCACCACCACCAGACCATTAAACCAAACCAAACCAAACACAGAGATCACCACATCCACAACCCCCGACATGACACTTCAGATCGCGACTGACATGACCGGGTCTGTGTTCTCACGGGGGTTGTGACCCATCTCATTGGCCACTCCATCCCAAGCAGCCAGCCAACCACGGGTGTAATACGGCATATATCACTTTTTTTGATGCTCTACTCCACAGAGGCCGAGTGGGAGTGGCTACCTATGAATATCCTCACCACCACAAGACATGTCTTACGTGCACGGTTCCGACCTTTACGCACGAAGGATTGGATTAGGGAGGTGCCTTCTGTCCAGAGGTTCGTCCGGCCGCTCCAGTAATTGCGTTCCAGTAATTGCGTTCCAGTAATCGCTGTTCACCACCCCCACCCTATCTCAGCGCACCAAGTGTTCCACCTAGCTATAGGCTCTGATCATTTCCCGAGCAGCGCACACCGGAGTTGGGTGAGTGAGTGAGTGAGTGCTCCCCTCCTCCCTTCCCTTCCCTTCCCACTCCCACTCCCCACATCTTCTAGAGTATGGAGATCCACTTCACCTCACGCCCCGCCCCGCCTCACATCATCAACGCACAGGTGAAAATAGTTAAAAGTAGAGGTAAAAGTACAAAGGCAGAAGAAAATCAGTGGGGGCCAAAATCGTATTCAAATCGACCTGCAATCCAAACAGCCTGGCCAACCCAAGGCTAGCTAGCTATAAGCTCCCTCCTACTACCAAAGGCTATACTAGGCTATCAATGTCCCTGTCTCCGCGTATGTATATATATAAAAAAATAAAAAATAAAACCCCCGTCCTGTCAGTCATATCGTAATAAAGCATGTTTCCCATCATATCAATCGTTCGTTAAAAAAAGATATTGCGGTAACCCCCAAAGTGCGTAAATGCGTAAATGCGTAAAAAGGAAAAAGAAAAACCAAAACCCAGGCAGAATAAAAAATAATTACCCCAAAAACGTAAATCGTAAATCGTAAAAATAAAAAAAAAAAAACTCCCTCTAGCCAAAGAAAACGGAAATAAATAAAAAGAAAATCGTCTCGTATAGACAAATGCATCATCCTCACCTCCATCAATCATCTCAAACCCGTCCAAACAATCATTCCCCCTCCTCAACGCCATCAAGCCAATCATGTAGTCACGCCATCTGCCCATCCCACACCACCTCCAACCTCAACACCGCATCCGGAAAAAAGATATCCAACACCATCTCCTCCAAACTCTTGGACACCTCCTTAACCCTCATGCCACTAATCTCCTTCTCCGCCGGCCGCAGCGCCGTCCGCAGCTTACACCCCGCGCGCTGCTTCATCTCCCCACCGCCGCCGCCGCCACCATTATTGTTGTTGGCATCGCTCAAGCGCCCATTAAAGATCTTCTCCCCCAGCGTCCTATCGTCATGATCCGGCCCCGCCAGGTACAGCGTATACTCCGTCTCCTGCGGCCTCCTCCCAAGCCTACTCCTCCCCGACGACGTCGCCGCCGTCCCCGCCGCCGCCTCTTCCGACGAAATAGTACTCAGCGCCCCGCCGCGCAGCCGCGCCCGCATCGTCTCGGTGTCGCTGTAATACCCCTTCGGCCCCATCTGGAACCTGCTATTCGCACGCACGCCCACCCCGCCCATTCCGTTTCCCATCCCGCGGTTGATCTGCGCCTGGAACCCGCTCGCCTGCACTACATCTGCGATCGTCATGCCGCGCTTGCGCTGCGCCTCGAAGCCGTTCTCCTGCACAAAGGCGGCCGCGTCGGCGGTAGCCCTATCGATCGCGGCGCGCTTGCGCTCAACGGCCAGGATGGAGCGCGGGCGCTTTCCGGGGGTGGTGGGCTCGACGCGCTTCAGTGCGCGGCCGCGGCGCTCGGTGAGGCTGCGCTTAGTAGTAGTGGTAGTAGTAGTAGTGGTAGGGGAGGATTCCTCCGAGGAGTCGATGATGGAGATGCCGTGCGGGGTTGCGACTGTGATTGGTGTGAGCGGGGGGTCGTCCTCGGTGTCGATGTGGAGGAGGGGGTGGTGAAGAGGGGCGTATGCGTGCTCGATGACGGCGGCGGTGCTGGATGTCTCTGCGGCTGTCTCGGCGGTCGTGGTCTGGCTGGTGGCCGCAGAGGCGAACGAGTCGCGGATGGACGTCCCGCTGCTCTTCTTCAGCCCCAGACCGGCCGCGGGCACAGGCACAGGCACAGGCACAGGCACAGGCACAGGCACGGCGGCAGCGGCAGCGACATCGACAACAGCACACTCCGGGTCCGCCGACAGCGGCGACATTCTCTTCTGCGCTCTCGACCTCGACGACGACGGTGAGCCCCGAGGAGTAGTGCGGGCGCTGGACGAGGACTCCGACGACCCCTTGAGCTCGACCATTGTTGGCGAGCCCGTGACGGAGGTCACGGCCATGGCCATCGCCGTCTCGAAGCGCGCGATGCTGATGGGCGAGTCGTGGCGCAGCGAGCTTGTGATGTGGCCCGGGGAGTGGTCACGCTCGCGGGAGGGAGAGCTGCGGTTGCGGGCGGCTGTGGCGGGGTTGTCGACGCGGGTGTAACGCACCTGCGAGGGCGAGCGTGGCGGTGTCGTGTGTGTTGTTGCGGTGGCTTTGCGGTTTGAGCGGGAGACGGAGCGGGGGACGGGGATGGCGCTCCTGGTGGGAGTAGGGATGGCTGTGGCTGTGGCTGTGGACTCGGCCGGAGCGGTGTGTGCTCGGCGGAGAGGGCCAAAGGGACGAGATACAGCACCAGGGCTGACAGACTCTGCATCAGACACAGCGGGCGCCTTCCTGACCTCCATGGCCGAGGCAGAGCGGACATGCCCGCGGCGGGCTGGGATCTCGGGCGTGGCTGTGGTGGGTCTGCGGGCCACGGAGGCAGACCTTGTGGGCGCCTTTGGCGGCGGCGGTGGGGCTGCTGTGGCCCTGCGTGACACGCGGACAGACTGTGAGCGGGTGATGGTGCTCATGACCGGGTGCTGCTGCTGTGGTTCTGCGGCCGCCTTGGGCACCTCGACAGGACTCCCCCTCTTGCGGGTGGACCTGGATGAGCCCGGGCGGGCGGGGGACTCTCTCGCTCTGGACGCAGACCGCATGGGCACCGCCGGTGGTGCGTCGGCTGCCATGATGGCTGGCATGCGCTCTGCGGCGGCGACAGGTGCTGCTGCTACTGCTGGTGGTGCGGCCTCGGTGTGCTGCTGCTGCTGCTGCTGCTGCTGCTGCTGCTTGGTGCGTGGCTGGCGCTTGGGTGCTTTTGTCGACGACGACGACTCCTTCGACGAGTCCTCGCTGACGGACGTGCAGCTGGACTCGGACGAGAGGTTGGGCGAGCCTGGCTCTGGGCTGGAGCTGTCGCCCGAGGAGTCTGTGAGCTTCGATGGTGGCGCATGTGTGGACGGTGGTGGTGCGGGCTTTGGCGTCTGCCTTGCGGAGGAGGAGGGCCTGATATTGTGAAGGTTTGATGCCGCGGTGCTGGGGCGCGAGAAGCCCGGCGAGATGGGCGAGAGCGGTGAGCGCGGGGTCACAAACCCGGACAACGAGGGCGGAGGGGCAGAAGCAAAGGCCGTGGAAAGGATGTTCTTGTGCGGGCTGCTGGTAATGATACTTGTACTGGTAATGATACTCGTACCGGTGCTGCCACCGCCACTGCTACTCTCGTCCGGCTTCTCCCACAACATCTTCCTACACGAGTCCTCGATAATCCTCGCCATCTTCTCCACCACAAAGTCCAGCATCACCGCATTCTCCGGGCTCGCACACCGGATCGTCGGCACGGTCCACGCGTGATAAATGTTCTGGTGCGCCTTACTGACCGTGAAGCGGCGCTGCAGCTGCAGAAACAGCCCGCACAGAAAACACGCCTTCTTGCTGCACCCGATGAACGCGGGCCGCGCCGCAATGCTGCCCGCATTCTCCTCGTAGAACTTGACCAGCTGCATCTCGGCGTGCGCCGTCGGCGCCGCCTGACACAGCTCCTGGTAGCGCCCCGCCAGCTTCTCGCTGCCCAGCTGCGTGGCGGCGCGCAGGCGGCTCATGCACAGCGCCTCGGGGGAGCTTGTCAGGTCTTGGACGACCTCGCCCACATAGACGCCCTTGAACCCGGCTGCAGCGCGCTCGTCGAGCGCGGGGAGCGTGGGAACGCTCTCCACACTCACGGCCGCAAACAGAGCCGGGAACTTCCGTGCAGCGAGCACGAGCGCGTTGCTGGCGGTCTTGTAGCGGCCGAGCTTCTCGATCATCTGCACGAGGCCGCGGCGGGCGGGTGTGGCCTTGAGGTTTGTCTTGAAGCTGCGTGAGCCGCGGAAGCGGTAGCAGGTGTCGAGGAGGCGGTCGAGGTCGCGGGTGCAGCGGGCTGGGTCCGGGGTGCTGGTGACGCGGGTGCAGAGGTCGTGGATCTTCTGCAGGGCTGCGTGCGCGTCGTCGGGGGTGGTGGGCGTGGTGAGGGCGTCGGTGAATTGGTCGATGAGCGGGCGGGAACCGCGGGTGAAGCGGTCGAGGAGGTCGGCGTGGACTTTGGCCTGCTCGAGCGCGAGGACGTTGGCCCAGACGGCGGCCTTGATGTCGGATTCGGCTTGTTCTGTGGGTGCGGGGTGGGAGTGTTAGCGGTGGTGTTTAGAGATGGAAATGATAACTTGGGGTACGGAAAAGAGGAAACATGGTGGGGTGATCATTGATAGTGAGTGACCACCAACCACCACAAAAAAACAAAAAGAAACAGATAAACCCTACCCCCACTCGCCACCTTCCTCACCTCCCTCAACACGGCCCTCAACCCCTCCAACACGCCCACAGGCACGCCCTCATTCATGGCCAGCCGAAACCTGACGCTCCCCTGCTCGCCCTCCTCCTCAATGCAGCACGCCGCGCCGCTTCCATCGCCCGCCGCTAGAAACGCAAAGTGGTCCGCAATCTCGCGCTCCGTCTTGTGCGGCAGCTTGTTCCGCCTCGTCGTATCGTATTCGGGGGCCTCGAGCGTGATCGGGTGCTCGGTGGTGATGGGCGCGGGGGTGACGAGGCACTGGAGGGCCACCAGCTGCACAAACTTCTTGCGGGAGCGCTCGGGCCAGGTGAAGGTGTTGGGGTCCGCGGGGACCTCGAGCTCCATGGGGGAGGGGCGCGAGGAGGCGCGGCTGCGCCGGCGGATGGACATGGGTGGTTGTGGTTGTGGTTGTGGTGAGAGTGATGGGTGGTGATTGGAGTGCTAGTTTGGTGTGGTGGTGAGATGGCGGAGAGTGAGAGTCATGAACACTAACTAGCAGCTAGATTGATTGATTGATTGATTGATATATGGATGGGATGTGTTAATTCGTATACAGTAGTGGTGAGTAGTGAGTAAGTGGGCTTCTCTCTTCTCTTAATATATATTTTCTTTTCAATCCTTCCCTTTCTTTCTTTCTTTCTTTCCCCTTTTTTTTTGTTGGAGGTATAGATGTGTATATATATCTTCCCAGACGTCCAGATCGAACCTTGCCAGAAGGTGTGAGCGTGAGGGTGTGTGGGGATTGACGAGATGAAGTATAACGTAGTATTTTTTTTAAAAAAAGGGGGGGGGAAGAAAAGAACAGAACCGTTTTTATTATTAAGAAAGAAAAAATAAAATAAAATAAAAAAAGAAGGCTTGCAGCAAGAGTAAGTAGCAGCTGTAAGTATGTATCAGGCACTCCTCTGCTGTTCATATATAGCAAACGCCCGCCTGCCGCCTACCCAACCTTAAGCGGGTTTTGCATTTTAATACATACATACAGCAGCAGCCTCCTCCCCCCCAAAAAAAAACTCGGAGTGAGTGAGTGAGGTATGTACCCCACAAGACATGAACGGAAAACCTACTTCTGTTCTTACCAATAGGTGCGTCCACGTCAACCCCAAAATGTGTGTGTGGTATGTGGTGTGTGAGCGTGTGTCTTTTTTTTTTTTCCCTGCAAACGGAGGAGGTGTCGCGATAGGCCCATAATTCAATTCGCCCCGGGGAGGGGCACATTGGGGTACGGTAGGTTAGGTTAGAGTAAGAAAGAAGCGTGGCTGCTGGTACTCTACTCTACATACTCTACTGGCTGGGGTGGGAGATCGATAGGCAGGATAAAGTAAATAGGTAACTGGGACCGATAAATGGCTTGTGTCGCAGGGCAGGCTGGTTTGTAACAGACAGAGAGACATGAACCGTTACGACTGGCACAAACCGGGGGCTTGCTGCTGTTGCGGGGACTGACTGGGGCTGGGGGGGCAGGCAGGCTGGAAGAAGGAAAAAACGCATACCGTTACGGGTACTCAATTGCTATGTAGAGAAGGGATTGTAGCCTGAGCTACATGTAGTTGGAGTACATAGCTCCCATGTAGCTAAAGTACCTACAGTGCTGTAGGTAGAGACAGCTACGAGTACTCTACTCTGCTCTGCTCTAGCTGTAGCTGGCAGTGAGTGGTTCGTCCGTTCCCGGCTGCAGCCCAGCCAGCAACGGCCTCGTCGTGAGTCCTGACCCTACATGTACCCTAGATACTCACTCGTACTCTCTACCTATGTAGCTAGAGTACATCATGCGAATTGTATCTTGTCGAGGAGGAGGAATTCGGGTAGGTAGGCAAGCAAGCAGAGCATCCAGAAAGAAAGGGACGGAACGGTACGGTACGGTCCATCCAAAAGAAGCCGCACCCGCAGGAATCACAGGAATGGCTTCACAGCCACCTCCACGGAAAAACGGACACGCAATTAAGACCCTGCTACAGCTACAGGTTATCATAAAGTAGGTAGGCAAGTGCTGTAAGCAGTAGTACAGTACTTTAGAGAGTATGTGTATGTAGGTACCTATGTAGTCAGGTTAGGTATCCGGTATGTAGAGTGGGAAGGGTATGGCTGGTCATGGCCTGGTATGGATTGTGAGTATGTGAACAGCAACAGAGATCAGAGTGGACTCGCATATCAAAGAGCATGAGCATGAGGTAACTATCTCTCTATCTGCTCGACATGGCATTAATTGATGAGCACGCCAGCCAGCCAACAGGAGCCCATCTCACCATTCTCATTCTCACCACTCTCACTCATCCTCTAGATACCTAGATACATATGTAGAGTACACCATGTGCTCTATTACACCGCCCCCCGTCAATCCATACCATTGCATTCACCACAAATACCTGCCCTACCTACATAGTACATCCATCCCCTCGTATCGTGCTGGTCCGCGCCCAACCAGAATTAAAGCACCCGCCCTGGCCACATCTGCGCAGGCAGCCGAAGATCGGGGTGAAACCGAAATAGCCCTCCCTCCCTGGGTACCTGCTCTACTCTCTCTGTGCTCTCGGTAGGGTAGAGAGTAGAGTAACAGCACCTACATACTCCAGAATACCATACCTTACACCAGTACCCCCGGCTCCCCTCCCCCGCTACGGAGAATTTCTGGCTGATCGCCCTGATTCGCCCAGCCAACATGATGGAGCGGGCGGAGGTGGCATGGCATGGCATGGCCAGCCAGGCCAGGTGGTTGTGAGACAGCGCTAGCAATGCGACCGCGTCGAGGGGCCAGAAAATGGGAAAAACTTACCTCCGTTCGCATGCGGGCATCAAGGTATCTAACTCTGGAATACCTACCTGGAGTACATAGAAGAAGAAGGAATATCCTTTCTGTCTGTCTCTCTCCCAACAGTATCGCTACATATCTCTATCTGTATGCTGTAGGTAGAGTGAGTACTCTAGCTTGTATGTATGTATGTACCTCGGGAAAGGCTTCTCTTCTCTTCTCTTCTCTCCCCTTCCCTTCTTCCTCTGCTTCTCCCTAGCACAGACAGACAGCCGTATTTATCCGCCCGTACTTTACGCACGTCGCCCTGCGGACCAGTTGGAGAAATGATAGCACATACCACTAAATAAAAAACCACTCTACTCTACTCTACTCTACCTAGAGTACTCTATTTCCCGGTATCACCACCACCACCACCACCACCACCACCACCACCGCCGCCGCGCTAGTTATAGGGTCGGTTTCATGTTTTGGGCTGGTGACGACAGGACAGTTTGTCCAAAGCGATAAAAAAAAATTTTTTTGTTCGACGTGACGTGATGTGATCATGATGTGCTGTGTCAATGTGTTACAAAACATTCATCACCAGTTTTAAGTTTTAGGTTTTAAGTTTGATGGCTAGCTGTCTCTCTCTGCTGCTGCTGTATGTAAGTGGGCGCTAGTTATGGTTGTTTTTACAGCTGAACTTGTTTTATGTAGCCAGTTTAGAGTATGTAGGTAGGAGGAGGAGGAGCGGGGAGGTAACAGATGTTCGCGTTTGACCATGCAACAGAGCCTGTTCTGTGGCGTAATGTACTGGGATATCTCTTCTTCATATCCAAACTCTACATACACACATATATATATATATAAAAAAATTTCACAAGATGATACAAACGCCCCTAGTTAGGCAACTTAGGCTCTCTCTCTCTCTGCGCATTTTTTGGTTTTTTTGATTTTGTGAATTGTGACACAATCTTGTGGCTACTCTACACCACCTCAGTGGGGGGGGGGGGGGGGGGGGCACCTCTCGGTATTTACCCATACCCACAAGTCTCTCCCTCCACAGGGCAGGGAGGATGCCATTGCCGGTGCAATGGCCATTGCATGTCCTCTGCTTTACATACTCTGCGTTCCCTACCTACTCTACCTAGTCCATTATGCTTTATGCCCAAGGCGGCCGGAGGATTTACGCTGCAGAGCAGAGTGGAGTGGAGTGGACATGTGGGTCACATTTGGGGGGAGAACGGTGGGTTGGGTTTGGGTTGGGTGGAGAAGGTAGATCACAGCTGCAATGATCGTCGTGTCGGAAAAAAAAATGTGAAACCAGACGGCGGCCGACGGACGGACGACGAAGCAGCAGAACACGGGAAGAAGAAGAAGCACAAGACGAGAAGAAGAACACGAGAAGAGAAGAGAAGAGACTGCAGATTTTTTTTTTGGTCAATTGCTATGGAATATTACTCTACAGACCAGCTAGCTACCCTACGAACGAAAAGAAGAAAACCTAAAACTAGAAAGAAAAAGAAAAGAAAAAGAAAAAAGCTACCCATCTACCCACTTTTCTACCCGCCCCTCTCCCCCTTCATCCTCTTCTGCGGACTCCCCGCCTCCTCCGCCTCCCCCTCCTCCGCCTCCTCCCTCCTCTTCTTCCCCCCCTCCACACGCCCCTCGCCTCCACCTTCCCCACCACCGGCACCACCCTCGTCCCCACCAACACACACCCCTCCCCGCCCCCCTACTCGTCATCACCGGATGCGTCCTCCCAGGCAAAACCTGATACCGTCTCGCCCTCACCTCCATCACCGTCGGCGCCAGCAACAACGTCGGATCCAGCCCCTCGCCCCCACCCCCCGCAATCCACTCCGCCTTCCTCGCACTACTATACAGATCCGCGCACTCCACCACGGGCTCCCTCGAGCTCGCATACACCACGACCTGCGCACTCCCGCGCAGCAGCGGCACCGCCCACCGCAGCACCCCAGACAGCTCCATATATCCCGCGACCAGCAGGCCGTCGAAGCCGCCCGCGGCGGTGGCGTCCGCGATGGCCTTGACGTGCTGCCAGCGGCGCAGCTTGCGGTAGTAGGCGCCGCGCTTGCCGCCCCGGATGTCTGCGAGGCCCGGCGGCTCCGGGGGCTGCTGCAGCGTCATGTCGGTGTGCGGGGAGACGACCTGCAGCCAGTTGAGGGTGTGCAGGTGGGTGTGCAGCGGGTGCGTGGGCGTGGGGTTGTTGGTGTCGTAGGAGAAGTATTTTAGGAGGGAGAGGTTGGGCTGCTCGTTTGGGTGGATCAGCGTGATTGTGTTTGAGGTCTTGAGGGGCGCGGGTGCGGGGGGGTGGCACGGTGGGGGGCGTGTGGCGGGGGTGGTGTCGCCTTCGGTGGTGGTGGTGTCGGCGGCGCCGTCGGGGTCGTCGGTGGGGTCGGCGCCGTTGTCGGCGGCGGCGGCGGTGGTAGTGGTGGTAGTGGTGGGGTCGGGCGTGTGGTATAGCAGCCCAAGTCTCTCTGCCACAGCGGCAACTAGGAGACCTCCGGTCTCGTCGATCACCAGCCAGCGGCCGCCATAGTGGACGTTTCCGAGCGAGAGCATGAGGCCAAGGGTCTCATCGCGCAGGTCGAGGATCTTCTGGGGCTCCTTCACCTCGAGGAGGTAGTTGTTGAGCGCGCTGACGGTCAGCGGGAGGACGGTGAAGCGGCGCAGGAACTTTTTGGTCTTGCGCAGGGTGTACTTTTGGAGTGAGAAGGGCGTCTTTTGGTGCAGGGCGGTGTGCGAAGAGAGGAGTTTTTGGACGAGGTCCTGTAGGGGGTGTTAGTTCTGGGTTTGTAGATATGTAGATATGCTGTAGAGTAGAATGTAGATATGAGGGCTGCAGGAACCCGCAATTGCAATTCCAATTGCAATTGCAGCCCAATGCCGTGCCAATGATCACGACACCACATTCCTACCCACACTGCACCCCTCACCCCCGACATCAAAAAACACAAAAAAGAAAAGCGGAAGAACCCACCCTCCCCGACCCCGACCCCACCTTCTTCGCCTCCTCAATCTCCTCCCAGCTCATCTTCTGCGCGGCAGGATCATCCACCGTCTCCCTATTATTCCTCATGGCCTCCTCCTTCTCCTCGCGGTAGTGCTCGCCCGCCTCGGCCTCGGTCTCCTCCTCGCCGGCCCCGCCCAGCACATCGCGGGTGATCTCGGCGGCGCTCACGACCCGCAGGCCCGACTGCGGCGCATCGAGAATGTCGAACGTGAGGTTGTACGGCCGGTAGAGCAGCGCGTTGGCAGGGAAGGACCCGAACTTGCCCAACGAGATTGTGGTGTCGGGGGTGATGACGAGGATGCGCGGGGCGCCGGAGGGCAGGCGGAGGAGGATGTGTGTGTGCGGGAGGATGAGGTCGTGCGGGGATGCCATCTTTGGTGGTGGTGGTGGTGGTGGGGGAGGGGAGGGGAGGGGAGGGGGAGGGGGAGGGGGAGGGGAGGGGAGGAGTGAGGCGGGCAGGTGCAGAGAGACTCAGAGAGAGAGAAAAAGAAATTGTGGGATCTGCGAAAATTATGGGTTGCGGATGCCAAGCGATGGCTCCGGTATAGCGGGGGGGGGGGGCCAGGGTTGTTCGGGACGGGGGTTAGGGGTATTTCTGGCACTGGTAGGGCTGCAAATCTGGGGATGGATGGATGGATGGATGGATGGATGGGTGGGTGTGTGTGTGCTACAGAGAAGGTCTTCTCTCCTCTTCACGGTGATGTAGGTACAATACCAATACCGGTACCAATACCTACCCATCACTCAATTAATTGATCCGAGTAAGGGCTGCATCATATGCGAGTTCTCTCTGCCTTGGTAATGGCATATCGCGATCCGATTAATCTGTTTCTCGTCCCACCGGGTATGCACAAGACGGTATTTGGTAGTGGGTAAAACAAAATTGCATATCCATAACAGTTCTCCCTACCTATATATGCACTCGATCTCATCGTTTTCCGTCACGGCGGGGTGGTGGTGGTGGTGGTGGAATACAATTATGTAGTTTATTATTATTTATATATGTGTGTCTAACCCCTCCCAACCTCCCTCTCGACTCCCACACACACAGCGGAAAAAAAACAAAAGTCAAAAACCGGTCTGTTCGATCTGATCGAATGTCTCCGGGAAAAAAAACACGATCCATCTAGGGCAGTTAGAGATCTGAGGGATATGGCACCCCACCACACACTTTCAAGATGTTCCCCTCCACCAACATCTCCGGGTGAAATGCACAGGTGAGGGGTCGACGACTTCTTACTGAGATGAATATCTGACTCCCACCGGCTCGCAGTAGGTAGTTACATGTAGTTGTGCTGATAAATTTACACATCCGCAGTATCCTCTTTGGTGATATCATCACTGGGCGGTCGACATCGGATCGTTGCTCGTGCGATTTGTCTATATGCGGGGTTTTTAATTTTTTTTTTTTGGATGATGGTGGATGAGAGGCCAGTCTAGCCCGCGCAGCCTTAATGGCCGTGCCTTATACTCATCCAAAAGGTCCTCGGATCCTCTCATCTCGTCTCATCTTTCTCGAACTAATGCCTTGATGCCCCTTCTAATCTTTCTTTAGCTAACTATTCTCATCTCATCTATCCATTCCTTTTTGCTCGTGGCAAGATATAGGCCCCACCACTATGGGTAAAAATGTCTGATGACCTCTCCTGCGGCGGATCGAGCCTTAGGGCTCCGAGGATATGCAAATACTGCGCCCTGTACCCTCGTATGCCGCGCCTTCAGTAACCCCGTATACATATCTTTATAAATCAACCCTGATATGAATACTTGACTAAAGCTATGTCTTTGGGTGTATCTCAGTCATACTGGCTTTTCTCGGAGTTCCGAAAAAGCATGTGCGCCGAACCAGGATGCTTATATGAATCCCGAGGGCTGAGACTCTACGCCGAAGCTCTCACTATTGATAGTCGATATATATAGCTCTAGTAATGAGTGCTACTAGGGATGGTGTAATTTTCATTTGTATTAATTTGTGATATCTCTTTTCCGGAAAGGATAACAGAGGATCATGAGACCTAGAGCTTACATTGCTTGTTAGTTGTTGGTATAAACTGTTTAGTATAACATATATGGAACTCCTAGTAAGAGTTTATGGTCGTCCAAGATGAAAGCTGTATTCTTAGAGTGATGTTAACACTCCCGGTTACACCATTTCCGTGTAACATCTTTTGTCTGGCATAAATGACTTTATATCATTGTGGACTGACTAGAGAGATACCGCCATAACTCGAAAAATTGGCTAGCTCAAAATTACTTGTATGGGAAACTTTAGTGCAGATCGATGCCATTCACCCAATCACTCAAGTAGTAATCCTTGAACAGAGATAGCCAATTTTTGGAGTTTTGGTGGTAGGACATCAGCACAACCCACAATTAAACCATTGTTGCCTTGAACTCTGCGGTGCTCTACTCTCCAATAGACATTGGGGGCGACTTAGATATCCGCGTTAATCCCGAAAGTACTGCCAGAGTTTAAGTAAATTATCATCTGCCATCATACAAGGCCAACCCGAAGACTTCGTAGCATGTTCCATTCGTAAATGATGTGCCCTTTCAGCACACAATGGCCGGCTTAGATTGTTGAAGATAAATTTGTACTTTTCTTTTTCTATCAGAAAGCCGTTTGATTTTCCAGAGAAAGTAGCCAACCAAAAGAGGTGTTTCTGCCGCTATACCAGCCTGCCTTTGCCCAATACAGAGTATGGGTTTAATTTCTTTCGTCTTGAGCAATATTCATCCAGGCGGGCTACCAGAAGACTTTTCCCCCTCCTTACTATGTATTTTTTTAGTCCCCACCCCTGGTTGGTTCTAGCGGATATTAAGGCATTATATCACCAGCCCGCAGACCATTGAACCCCGTATTATTTAGAAACTATCCTTTCAGTGAATCTATTCCCCGTCCATTGTCTGACTTTCCACTAGTGATAGTCGTGATTCCATTAGGGAGGAATCCTCAAGGTGGATATAAAGTGGAGTCCCCATAGTAGCATATTCGTTATTAAACTGCATATTATCGATGCTGGCATGCTATTTGGTGTCCTCAGCCTCCTACTATCGAGACTTCACTGTACCCCACAGCGTGAGAATTAGGTTTCTCGCCTCATGTGCAGAATCATGAGATATCACTCGAGAAACCCCACCCGGCTCAGCCTGGGCGAATCCAGGATGGCGTGGGTTCATCTATACCATTTACCCTCGGTGTGTCAAACGATGTATCCCTTCGCCTGATGAGATCTGCAGATCTTATTTAGCCATGATATCATGTTTTGGTCCTGTAATGCGTCAACATCAGCTATGTTCGGGAAAGGTAACTTTTTTTTTTTAAAAAAAAAAGAAAGAAAGAATATTGACGAATGCTTGGTGAAAACCGGCTCAACGGTCATATAGCTTCACTCATTATCACGATATCATGGTGGAAAACACGGATACTTTGATTGAGCGAGATTGACCCCCAGCATCAGACGGGATGGCTGGTGAATGGGACTATCTTTATCCATAATTCGGTGACTGGACTCCTTCTTTCTCTCTTCCCTTGCCCTCGGCGTTAACGTTCGGTTTAGGTGAAACCTCGTTACTGGATCTCCCATGATGAATATGGTGATTGTCTAATGATAGATAGCTAATAGTAGATTATGGATGATGATAAAAGAGTATTTGGTGGTGGAAGGAGAAGGTTGAGTGGTGAGATGTACGCATGTGTATTTATTCCTCCTTCCTACCTGTTACCTGACAACTACGCTGCTGTGTGGTATAAGAAGGTCTGGGGCCGGCCTTAACCCAAACACTAACGTACAGCTATATGTATCCATGCCCAATTACCCTACGTTGAACAACAAAAATGCTCTTTGATATTACATGTAATTAAACACAGTCTATATATAAAGAAAACCCACCGGGCACCTCTCACTTCGATAGGCATCATGAAATCTATCTTAGCGTCCGATAGAACAGAAGCGAGATAACTATCGTTTTCTTATCACTGGCCTGGCTCTCCGGCTGTCTGACCTTGCCTTTTTACCATCTGGTCGCCCCCAAGGTTTTTCTTTCCCTTTCACGGAGGTAGAAGGGAAGTGGTTCCCATCCCGTGAAAATAAGAGCTAATTCGTCCTCTCTAGCTCAACTCGGGCTGGCCTAAGATCTAGGAAGATTAGGAAGCTTAGGTCGTGGTTGCTCTAGGTTTCCTTCTAGCCCATTTACGGGGATTAGTGATGGGCACGAGACGAGACGAGACGAGACTTACCTCAATCTCGTCTCGTCTTGTATTCTTTAGACTGAGTCTTGAAAGTCTCGAGACAATGGTCTAGTCTCGTCAAAGTCTCGAGACTTTTCGTCATGTGACCATGGGGATGGGAAGGCACTATGACTATGCTAATCAATGCAAATAAAGGTTTAATTTCTTTCATTTTCATTTTTTCATTTTCATTTTATTTTTGGGCCGAGGCTAGAGAATTTATTTAGGTGAGGAAAAAAAGTCAAAAAAGTCTCGAGACTTATCTCGAGACCTCCGGATCTGGTCTTGTCTTGTCTTGTCTTGTCAGCTCCCGGGTCTCGTCTTGTTTTGCTAAAGGTCTCGAGACAACTTGCCTCGTGCCCATCACTAACGGGATAAGAGCCCACCAGTCCAACTCACTAGAAGCCAAGAAATCCGGACAAATTTCACTTCGAATGACACAAACCAGGAGTAAACTTGAGCAAGTTTTGTACTAGGATAGACTCCGTGTATGTCAAAGATCAATTGGCAGTCATGAGCAGTCACTCGTAGTTATGGTAGACTCACCAGATATCACTCGGAAATACAGGTATTCGGATTTGGCTCCTTTATCCGTTCAAGACGGTCTCTATAAGAGAGAAACATATGACTTTATCAATGCACTTCTATATGTTACGTGTAGCAGAGCGCTTTCGGCAGGCTAAGCGTGCACTCTACCGCCGGTGGCCAGATGACCATATTTCCGTAACATTTACCTGATCTTGCGAGGTTTTTTTTTTTTTGTTTAATTCATTAATTGCATGCAACCTTACAGTTATGGCAATACCCAGAACTACCCCGCTAGCTCCCGGCCACGCCCAATGAAGGGTATTCGGCAAGCTGTCAAAAATCCACCGCCATCTGCGAGAAATAAAGAAACGAAAAGTAACTATTTAGCTCTAACAAATTTGACTCTGTCTCTCCTTCCGTCCTTCCTTCTGGGACCAAATATAAACCCTTCGTATCCTGAATAATCGTTTAGGTATCTGTATATCTAGTGTGGGAGTCCGACTGTGCCTGCTCTATCGCTTATTTCCTTATCGCCTACCGCGATGTTTGTACCGGGTTTGTCCATGAAAACGAACGCTATCTTGTGAGGTTTGTTCAGAACGCCAGATAAAAACATTCCCGATTTCTATTAGAACTATTACAATATTATGACGGGGGAGGAATACAAACTTATTTTTGGTACCCTTAGAGTATTATCATTGATGGACGTTGGCGAATATTGTCCTGCTCTTATAAGGGGAATGCGTTGCTCACGATCCGGGGAAAGCTTCATCCTTTCCGACAGTAAGTTCTCAATCCATCAAAAAAATTCATCCGCATAAAGCCTATATATCCTCGCTAGTACTAGTGTATGCTTGATGTAATGTGGGTTAATAGAGACCAAAGCAGGTCGTGATCATTCATCAACTGGCCTGAAAGTTAGATCATCTTTCTTTTATTAGATGTTCTTTTTCTTACCTTAGAAAAAAAGAGACCATATTTCACCTTTCCCTAAGCTATGAAGCAGCATTACTAGAAGAATTGTGATATGAAGAGATCATGCCTTTTCTGAACAGTTTCTTGAGAAGTAGGAAATTAGGTCTGTATCTAGCTGCCAAGCCAGTTGGAATCTTATCTTATCTTATCTTATCTTAGCACCAACTATATACATAGGATCGCCGTTTGGACAGGGTCAGGCGGGATGACGAAAACCAGCAGTGTTTCATACGGTTTTGTTCTACGCATCAGATAACAAATTAAACCGGTTTCCCCATAATGGATTAAAGTAAGGGCGCTGCTGCTAGGATAGAATACCGGGAGAACTCTCATAGAGTACCCAGGTATCGAGCCGCTGATGCTCTTCTCTTGCCACAGGAGCAGCACTGGGGCGATGACATCGAGAATTCAGGGTCATTTTAAGCCCTTAAGGGTGTCTAAGCCTCACGGACCACGGAGAACCCCTAACTACGATTTCCATGTGATGGAAACTTAAGGGCCGAGCATCGCTGGTTCCTGTTCCAAGGGTGTGGCGTGCCTCGTGCCTACATAGATCCCCTCCTCGCACCGTCGTCGTCTGTATCTACTCCTTCCTCAACGGAACAGGGCATAAAAACAATTAGTATAAGATAACGCAGCAGGGACCACCGCAGACATCACCGGGCTAATCTCGTTCCCCTCCCCCCCAGACATAGAATCTACTTCAATAGACTTCGATATCTACCACGCTCGGAGCCACTTTCTCGCATTGCTCATCTCCCCTCTTCACACACACCCTGGCCGCGTCACCTCGTGGCTAGATACCCCACGTCAACGTCACCCAGACGCGCGTTTGCGCGCTCTTAACTCATTCTTATTCTCCTCTCTCTTCTATCCCACGATACCTCTTCGCGATACCTCCAACCTCTCACACGATACGCAAGTGATTCCCTCCATAATGTCAGATAACCAGCATACACACGGCGTCAGGCCTCCGTACCCCGAAGACTCAAACCCCCATCTTGCTGGCGTCCAAGAGCCTCACCCTCCCTCGTTATCGCAATCACAAGATCTCGGAGAAGCGCAAGCGAGGAAAATGACCCGTGGTCCCAGTGCAGAGAGTAATTCCACGGCAACGGTAGATTTGCCGGACAGCTTGAGAGTTGGGTCACCACCTGCTCATCATATAAGTCATGCGCCTGAGCCCGAGAGCGTTGCGAAAGGTGGCGTAATGTTACCAGATAGTTTAAGAGTTGGCGCTGGAAGCAATGAGGGCTCGCAGCGGGGTAGTGAGACACCGAGGGGGAGCTTCGAAAAGGCAGACATACCTGAGGCTCTGCAACCTGGAGGTGGGAAGATGAAGGTACCAGCTGAAAATGCTGAGGTTTACACACACAGTGCGCCTGGGGGCGAGAAGCAGCAACCAGAGATCAATACGCATGTCGTTCCTGAGCAGAAGGGTGTGGAGACGACGATGCATGGTGCATTCGTCACAGGGAATGAAGATTCAGAAGATATATGGGGAAACGAAAAGACGCCAATAGAGCGGCGGCAAAGCGAAGATAGTGAGTTAATTCCCTATGTCAAGATATCGTTGGGCAATTGGACACTCATATCTCGGGCTCAACATCCCTATATACCTTTACTAACTACAAGTGCAGTTTCTTCTCCTATGGCTGCCAATTTCAACTCTTATGATAGACCGTTCAATGAATATTCGCCGTTCTACAATCCGACCAATAACTTTAGCGCTAGTTCCTCAAAAGCGCCTAACCACTCAAACCAGACCGGAGTAAATGTTGCTTCCGAGCCACAAAGGTTTCCGCCGGTTGCCGCCGTGCGACCTGGTGAAGATAGAGACAGACAGTTCTCGATTGCGTCTTCGACTTCTTCAGTGGGTTTCGATCCAGGGATGGATTTATCCTCCTTCGACGCATCAACTACAAGAGCATATCCGGGAAGGAGAGGATACCCGGCAGTCGGTATGGGTGGTTGGAACGAGGACGAGGAAGAAGGCGAGGTTGCAAAAACTTGGGAGGAAGAGCTCGACAGGCGTGCTAGAGCTGGTGCAGAACTTCAACGCCGCAACGAAGAAGCTCAGGAAAGGGAGAAAGAGGAGCGACTACAGGCGGAGTTCTGGGAAGAAGAGCGCCGCCTTGCAGGAGTCGCAGAAGGTCCCCAGAAGCCTCCTAAGGCGCCGTCATCTGTAGGTGGCGATAGCGCTATAAGAGCTGATGCCCCAATACCTCAACCGGATCAATCTAGGCCAGTGCCGCCTATACCAGTAGAGGCGATGGCAGATTTAAATATACGGCCACCACCGCCGCCACCCCCTTCCGCAAATACGACCACTGAAATCTACCAAATCAAACATATTGCCTGGACCGACCCGTCTGTTCCCAATGCCCCACTTCGTCGCTCCCCAATTCTTCTGCAAAATGCGAATGGCCCATGTCCTTTGCTAGCTCTCGTAAATGCACTGATACTTTCTACTCCCGTGGGGACTAAAACAGCTCTCTGGGAGACCCTTGAGCTTCGGGAACAAGTCTCACTCGAACTCCTCCTGGACGCTGTATTCCAAGAGCTCATGGACCGTGGCGGCGCAGCGGGCCTCCCAGATGTCGGCGATCTTTTCGCATTCCTGTTAACGCTCCACACAGGTATGAACGTCAATCCACGTTTCTACTCTGAGGATACTCCTACCAATACCCACACAATGCATTTCGAAAATACACGAGAAATGGAGCTATATGGTGCTTTCAGGATCCCGCTTGTTCATGGCTGGCTCCCAACCCCCTCTGATCCTGTACTTGCGGCGATGAAGCGACGGACTGTGTGTAACTACGAAGAAGCTCAAACCCTCCTCTTCCACGAAGGGGAGATTATCTCTCGCGTCACTTCCGAGGACGGTACTCTTGCAGATGGGGAGGACCAGATCATTGAAGATGCAGGTATCATTCGAGATTGGATGGAACGCAGCAGAACGCAGCTGACAGCACACGGGCTCGAGGTCGTCAAGAGTGGACTTAAGACTGGTGATGTCGCAATTTTATTCCGGAACGACCACTTTATGACTGTAATTGGAGGACGGGACTCTCATGCGCTCATGGGCTTGGTGACAGATATGGGCTTTGCGGGACATGAAGAGGTAGTATGGGAGCGTATGGTAGATGTCCAAGGTCGTAACAACGAGTTCCTCTCTGGCGACTTCCGCCCCGTCGGGGCCGGCGACGCGCCGCCACCACCACCACCACGTCAGGAGGTCCGCTCCCTCCTCGACCCTGACGAGGGCTGGGAAACCATCCCCGGTGTCACCGACACCCATACACCCGCCCCCGGGGATATCGTAGACCACGATGCAGATCTTGCCCTCGCTATGCAACTCCAGGAGGAGGAGGATGAACGTTACCGGAGTCGACAAGATGCGGAGCAGCGACAGCGGCGTCATGGGCCCTCGCAGTCTATGGGAGGGCAACCTCGCGGTCTCCCTCCTCCACCACCCCCACGGCACCCTGGAGGCTCGGGGCAGTTCACACACCGCCCTGTAGATGGAACAGAGACTACCCCGCCGCCGCCGCCATATGAGCGCCATCCAAACCAGCCCCAGCCCCAGCTGAGTGCGTACCAGCAACAGCAGCAGATTCAACAGCAGCAAGCATGGGGTGCAGGTCAAGGCCGAGGCCGAAGAGCGAGTTTTGGCGCAACAACTGCTCCAGCGGGAATTCAAGCTAGCGGTGGCATGAGCCCAGCGCAGAGGAGAGCGGAGGCCGCCAGAAATCTCATGTCGGAGATTGCGAACAATGCGGGATCGCCGAGTGGCCCGGCGCAACAGCCCGGGAGGCGATCAAGTCTAGGAGGACCTGGAACTGAGGCCGAGCAGAAAGAGAAATGTGTTATCTGTTAGTTGGATATTGTTATGATGTGATGTTTCTGGTGTAAAGGGACCTTTTTCTGATTTTTCGACTTTTTTTTTTTTTTTTTTCTGTTATGGCGATATCTGGTGGTGCTGCTTCGGGAATTTTATTTTTTAACCCTTGTTTCTTTTTCTGTTTTTTCTCTATTGTTCCTTGGATATGAACTTTTGGGGGAGGTGTAGGATAATGTTAGTGGGCTTCCATTAAGTATTTAGTTAGGATCGCGGGATTTGAGCTTTGTTAGAGTCTTGGTCATATCATTATACACAAGCAAGGCAGTGGCAGATCAGACCCAAAACATCTCCTAGAAATATTTAAACAGAATTGTAAATAGTAGAGCGTGCGCATAATACATCTCAGAGGTCCAATGATACTTACACCCCCGGCGCACTCTGAATCCCTCTAGTAGTCGCAACAGAGTTAGTAAGAGGGGTCCAAGTATTAATCCCCGTTTACTAGTGCAGTTTACCACCCTAGCACAAGCGGAAACATCCGGTTGTAACATAACAAAAAGACCAAACATTCTCAGTGTAACATCAAGCGCTAATAGCTCAGTTGGGAGAGCGTCAGACTGAAGCTGTACATCAGTCATAAGTCTATCTGAAGGTCACCCGTTCGATCCGGGTTTGGCGCATTGAATTCATTTTTTTTTCTCGCGGTCGGTATGGGGAGTCAATGAGGTGGAAGTCAACAACAGCCGAGAGAGGCTTTTTCTTTTTTTTTTTTTTTTGTTCTTTTGCCGAGGGATTGGGTCCCGGGTTTTGTGTAAGAAAGTCTCCGGGAACCTTGATCGGTATTATTGTCTAAGGCTACCTGAGTGAGCACAGAGTGCGTAGTACTCGTATACATGAAGGTATGTACCTACTCTGCTACAATCAACAGCGAAAAAAAATGTGAAAAAAAAAGGTGACATGTGAAGTATGTACCTACATGGTGTTGCAGCTCTTAATTGGTGACCGCGTAGGTCATATAAGACGCGTATTAGAAGAGATTCCTTTTTCGTCAAGATTATTAGAGGTGCCTGCAAGTGCGTCCGGGTGTCCGTTCACGGGCATTCGTGGACAGACCGAACCCGGTATCCCTTCCGGACTCCCGTAAGTAATAGATCATCATTGAATAACCTTGACATTGGAAGATGGTTTCCCCCATATTCCTCTTCGCATTCCACTTCACATTCATAGGTATGTGAAGGGCACCTCGTATGTGACTGCACTTAACATAAGCTCAAATGCCTAATGCCAAACATTATTTTGGGGTGAATTTTGTACTGGTATTGGTGTAGTCCACGAGAGCATAGGAAAGACATTCTCCAACAAGATGTATGTATGTTCAATAATAGCACACACGACCACGGAAATTCCAAGCAGCTGGAGTACAGTAAGGGTAGTTATTGACGGACTGTTACGGACACGGTTGACACCGTACCAATGGATAGGGTTTTTTTGACCAATGAAAGAAGATAAACCTAGGCTTGGTTGTCTCTCCTGGTTGTTGTCCGCCAACACGACCCAGTCCACCAATACCCTGTGAATGACATCGACAATACCGGCAAGCAGAAGGACACTTTCAAGGCAAGCATAATTGTCTTTTAGACCCCTCCCCCACGCCTTGAATTGTCTCACGAAAGATACTTTGTACTAATTAAGCAGCCCCAGCGGAAAAAATCTTTTGATCGCAACTGATGCCTTATGTTCCTGGATGACTAGGCCGTACCTGGCCTGACGGACTTGCCAGTCCGTCAAAAAACAAATTCAGCTGGGGCCCTAGATAGACGACTTTTACCGAGAAATGCACTTAGCACCATTGAGCTGACTATGTAGTAATACCTTGCAGATTGAGTGTCCTACGTATACATACCGGAACCTTCCAACTTGTAGTTCAGCCTCATATTGGAATACGAGCATGCCCCATCCTATGGCCGCGGAGCTCATTGATAAACATATGGGACCGTCAGGAACCATACAAAGTTGAAGCACAACTATCTTCGTCAAACTAAAACCACTAACTGCTGATATTGCTGTGAGAGTAACGATTCCCAGGTGTACACGTCGATAATGATTGTCTCATGGATCGTACATGTATAACAGCAGCTAAACAGGCGCAAGAGAAAGAATTTGTTTCACGAGCGTACATAAGTTCTAGCGAGGTATCGATCGAGACTCTCGCTAAATCAGGAACAGCACTCGTCTATACTCAGGGCAGGTAACAAGAACCTGAACATAAAAACGCACTAGCAGTGGTCAAAGTGGTTGCTACCAGAAAAACGATGTTCAGGTTCTTCATGCCTGCCCCGAGTACACATCGGGATCGCTTCAGCCCTAGAATCTGTTGCGGGAAGTTGGGCTTACAACCAAGACGTTTTTCTCCACCGGCCACCCGCTACTACATGGTACATTACTTAAACGAAAATTATCTAATGCACGCACCTTGTGTGTTCCTCTCTAACCTTTTATTTTTTTTAGCGAGCGATTGCGCGGCGGACAGAGAATGGCTGGGTTGTTCCGAGCTGGCATGCAACAGAACAACCTGATGATGCGATGCGATTCTTTAGAAAGCAGGTATGTAGAACTTATTCAGTCTTGGGGACTGAGCAGGGACAAGTGTACAAGTCTCGGTACATTGGGTACGGTATAATGCGTTTGAATCATAGCCGTACAGGTCGTGGCGTTTTGGGAATTCCTTTTTAGGATGATGGAGGGGAAGGCTTGGCTTCGAGTGACGATCTATGATGCAACGTGCGGTTAGAAAGTGCAAAAAATGGACTGAATAGATATACAGTTGTTGACATTAGGAACGCAACCCTTGAGGTTGCCCTACTGCATTTCAGCTTTTGCGACATGGAATGGCTCAAAAGAGAAAGACACATCCTAAACCCACGATCCTGAAGCTCCCAGTTCCTTGCATGAACGTTCTGTTGGTTTATTGGATAATGTTCGCGAGGGCTTCATTCCAAGAGCATGGTTTGACCCCCTGAAGAGTGGGGTTCCCTGGGATAAAAACAACCCATGGTACTGATCTTGGTAATCCCACGTATGACCCCTGCTAATCCAGGTACAGTCATTACCAAACGTGGCAGGTGTAGGTGTAACATGGGTTTTAGTTCTGACCATCCGGTCTCAACGACAGCTTATCTTCAGATCTTGAAGTACCTAACCAATCATTATGGTGCACAGTGTCGACTGACCCAGGAAATCTAATACTACCACCGGGGCAGCTTCCGGTCAGCACCTACCACCTACCACCACCACACGGCTGGCACGATCGACCACGGGTACCTGAAAATCATCACGTCGTTCTCAATTGCCGTGGAACCCTCCGATATTATCAATGTTAAGAAGTTCTAAATTATCATGTATGGGTAGAAAGACGGGCATGAAAATAACGATTTAAACTCATCTAAATCACCGAAGAGTAAGAGAAATGTGCATCAATATGATCGATGCTGCACCGTTAAAAACCACGTTGTCATACCAGCGGGCCGTTCTGCATATATACATGTTATTAACATTGGTGGGAAAGTCCAGGATTTCCTGCAAGCAGGGCGAAGTCTCAAAACTTTATGTTCTTTTGAGAAGGAATAAAGAGTAGAGTACTGCATGTAGGCCAAACGCATGTATACATATGCATCCCAAATGAAAAAAAATGAGGATTTAGATTAAGCCACTAGCTCAATTTTTTAGTTTACATACACCCTTAAGAATTTTGGGGTCTTTACATACGCCCTTTTTATCCCGAGGAAAAGCAAATATCAAAGACCTCTAGTTTTGCAATATCTTTTCAGCCTGTAAGTGCACTTTTAAAACTTCTCCTGCAGTTTTATTGCCGCTTGTTGTTCCTCTGATGAAGATTTTGGTAAGGAATGTCGCATTCAAGACGCGGCAAATATGGCTTCTGGGATTGAATCTTATTGTGTCTCTAGGGCAATACCAAGAAAGTTGTCATATATAAATGTATAGAACCAACCTCTAGGAAATGACATTCAACAGCTCAAAGCAGTCTTCATATAAAGGGTTTCACAAACTAGTGTATTTTCCAACCATATCATCTTTCTCACAACCTCCATACAAGCGGCAACCACCCACTAGTACTTAGCCAACCTCAACCGCCTATCTACATCTAATATTCCACCTCACCATACTTCTCAAAGTAATCACACTCACTTGACCGAAGATCATATTCGCTCCTTCGATATGATTTTCAACACTCTCATTACCACTCTCCTTTTCGCCCTCTTTACCCTCACCCACGCTCGCGAGGTGCCTGCAAATGTCCGAGAATTTTACGACAAAGTCAAAGGCGGCGAATGCCCCGTTGCCGTCGCCAAAGGTTTCTCCCAAGGAGCGTACTCTGGTGAATCGAACTACTGCGTTGATAAAGACCATACCGTGATGTGGATCACTACCCCTAGTGGCCTCGCCGATATGGATATTGATTGCGACGGCGCCAACCAGGGCTATGGAAAGTGTGCCAATGACCCAACCGGCCAGGGTATGACAAGCTTTGTAGGCGATGTCGTGAAGCACGGTCTCTCCGACTTGGACTCCAACACGCACAGCTTTGTCGTCTTGGGAAACCACGGCTTCGACCCTCAGTCGCTGGGAATCAAGCCCTTAAGCTTGGTAGCGGTTATTTGCGGAGGTCAATTGGTATTTTCATATTTCCTTAAATCTATGACTGTTATATATATATGCTAATTGAATCCTAGTTCTACGCTATTTGGGGGGATAGCAATGCTACTGATAAGGTCGGCGAGGCTAGCATTTCGTTAGCAAATGCCTGCTTTGGAGATTCCATGACAGGAAACAGTGGGCACAACCAGCATGATGTTCTATATCTTGCCTTCCCAGGGGAGGATGCTGATGCCTCGAAGACTTGCAATTGGTAAATTCTTCCATCCAATCTGTCCATTGATCACTAGTGGTTTTCTAACATATATGCATTCCAGGGGTGCAAAATCCTTTGCTGAATTTGAGGATTCTTTGGGGCCTCTTGGCGACAAATTGGTTGCTGGCATCCATGCTTAGATTTTCTTTCCTTTGTAGATCATAGAAGTAGAAATGATAACGACACATGATGATGAATTAATGATAAACGATTTAATTAAACCACAATGCGTGTATATTTTGTACCCATGATTTGTGATGACGACGGTGCCGAATAAAGTTACTGGAAATAGATATAGATGATGCTGGACGAAGCCGTATTTCTGCGACGAATGATCGTATTGATCAATAAACTTGTTAAACCACCGTGTATAACTATTGGTAGGAAGTTAACAAAGTACTAAATCCGTGCACAAACCTCTGCTCGTGGTTTACAACACCTGGTATTATTTAATGGGCGTAGGGCAGTACCAGGGATTTAGAACCAGCTCTGCGAGGATTTGGGCCTACTAGTAAGAAAGAACAAGCTTGTTTAAACGGAGTCGAGGAGGCCGGTGAAGGATCACTTTCTATACAGGATTAATGTGCATAGGAGGGGATAATTGACCTCCGTCAATGGGCCAGAGCAGATATAAGCTCAAGCCGGTTCGGGTTCGAGTTCAGGAAGGCCAACTCGCTCCTCGTAATAGAGTTTGGAAAGCTCCCAGGATCAGATGTTTCTTGACGTACGCGTTACAATGAGATGTGCTGTGTGAGTAACTGATTCTAATGCTGAGTTGTTTGGGGCATTGATTGGGGGTGCAGCATATACTATAGAGTACATACATAGGTTTAAAGAGTTTGAGGTAGCTTCCCTAAACCGAATCCCTTTTATTTAGGTAACAAATCGTGAGAAGAATATATTTGTGCGACCAAGCAGCTACGCAGTTGAACGGCCTCGAACAATCATCCCTGTGAGCTAGACCTGATCGATGACGTGACAGGATATTTTGTTCGATTTCTGAAGTCAAATTAGGCTGATGATATACTTCGTCCAAGTGCGCGTGCTTGATTAGACGTAATCTAGAGGAACAGGAGATGACTTTCTTACTAGCTAAGGTATTTCAATTTAGGACTCGATCGATTCTGTAAATTATATAGAAGACATAATTGAGTCGATATGGTAAAGGATCAAACCCGCTCGATCGACCAATCACACATTAACTAGACTACAAGTTAGTTTGGTGTCCTGAAGGTATATCAATCTTAAAGAACTAAACAAAATATAAAAAAAAGGTTATGCCTTAACCATAGACTATCACTCGGTTTTTCGGGTGCTCTTATCATATCGGAGTTCCTTAATACTCGCAGGCGTCTCATCATCATTCATAGAGGGACTTCCAGATATGACCACGTTAATAAGCTCATAAACGAATCAAGCACCTCTCAACTGAACTGGCGTCGACATTATGCTTAGAAGAGAGTATATAAGAGGTTGATAGTACGTAGCACCGCATGTATGTACATTGACGTATATATACATGTACATGTATGTATATGCATGTGGTTACCCTCTCTAGAATATCTAGATGTCGTTTTTATTTTATGTATTTAACACCACGGCCACTCCCTTCCCACGGCCCGGTCCTGTCCCTCGATCTCTTTTCCTTCTATACCCGTATCAACATTCGAGGCTAGAAAAGAATTAGTAGAATACGAAAAGAGGTCAATATCTGTTTTCGTAATAGTTGGCGTGATCGGTTGGGTTTAGTCTCGCCGTCAGCCACCATTAGTTACGATAACCCCAGCGGTTCGGCCTGATTTAGCATTGAAGCGAAACAAAGCCGACCAAGAGAGTAACGGTGAAGGTTGAATCAGATACTCCGGATTTGGCTTACGATAAAGATTTGTCAAGCTACTATCCAATAGTGGAACCGCCCAGGTTGAGGGAGAACCATCAATGATTTCCGTGTTTACACGAAAAGCTTTAAGGGCCATGACCATACGGAAGTACTAAACCGCGATAATTATTTTATCAACCGGTAAACCGGGGAAGGGGGAAGGGACTATGGGACGATTTTGCTAGAGCAACTCGTATGAAGAGGTCCTAGTCGTTTTGGTGCCTTTGTGGGATTTCCTAAGGACAAATCTTTCCGATGCTAATGTCAACTACCTCAATATGTATTATCACACTCAATCTTATAATAAATAAGGACTCATTTTTGCAGCATGAAGATAAAGTCTCGAAATTGCATCTTTCTGGATAATATAGACCAAGATATAGAGCTGGGGACGCTTCATGAGCATGGGCCTGAAGGTTGTGCTTGAAGACAGGAGCAACCGGAAAGTTTCAAATAGAGGAACCACCCGGTTGAAGGTGTGAGCGAAAAGAAATTAAGGGCCAGGACCAGGACCTCAGTGTTGACAACAGTACCGATTTGACGTCCAATTCGCATGGTCACGGAAGCTGCAGATCTCGATAGACTTGAGTTCTAAGGTATCAATGTCCAAAAAACCACAATGATCAATAGGTAGAGAAGACGGCAAATGCAAGAAGAGAATTATGTGTCGGTTTTATGCCGAGGTTATCTCGCAAGTTTAAGTCGAACACGGCAGTTATCATGTATATACGGCTTTCACCAGATGGCTGGTGATTAGCCTGGAATTTCAACTTAAGTATCGTTAAGGTCGGTGGCCCGCCCGGATCATGATAGTTTGGCCAAGCCATGTCGCGGAGCACCTGAACCCCTGCATATTCATAACTCGTATCTGAAAGATCTTATCAGATTAAAGGTCTTTCTGTACGTCGGCACATATGCAGAACTCATTCCACGTGGCTGATCTGTTCAAGTTCCTTAGACCTAAAATCAGCCTCTTTTCGTATCGGCGGCAAGAATCTTTGCAGTTATGTAGCTTCCCCTCTCCTCTACAAGCACTTCCATCCGGAGTTTTCTCGAACAAATCGCTCTAAGTATTAGCACGGCATCATCGCTTCGACAAGTCTCAAGTTGCCCAATGTCACACACCATGTCCGTGCACAGAGGTTTATCCCTCCCCAACAACCCTGCATCGCTGGTTCGGCTCGTTTCACATAATGTTCTCGGTGGTGCGCGCGAACCCGTTATGGCGTTTTTGATTTTAGGCATTGAGACGACAACGACGACCCGTTGAATACACACCTACTGTCTAAGCGGGCGTAGGATAGAGATGACCCTCATTCTTTCTTGGTGGGCGTCGGTCTTGATACAGACTCACCATGGTTGGGTTTTTCTGCTCTCGACGTATGCAAGCCAAGACTCCCACGAAATGGAATATATAGCTACAGTTGTAGGATGTAGCGCCTATCGTTAATACGAGGAATGGAATCAGGTTGCGGCCTGCCCCTTAACGTTCCCCGACCTAACGACGACACGTGTGTACTCAAAAAGTATAAACGGTGTCTGCGTTGCCTACCAAAAGGACATGCATGCTTTACATAAGTTACTTACGCCTCGCTGCGAGTGGTGATACGAGTGTAGGGGAGCAGGTGTTCCAGGAAATCAATGCCGAGGCATACATAGAGTACATGTAATAGTGCAGCACTCCAAAAGTGTAGTTATGGCTGGAGTTTCAATTCGGCAGACAAAAAGTGTCTTTCTCAGAAAAGCTAGCCTTACCCTAATATCATTACAGTTTAGACACCAGGCGGGCTAGTCTCTAAACGAACCGTCCAGAAATCTCCCAAGATCGGGAACAACAAGGGTGGATGAGTTGTGGGTGTGTGCGTGCTTGCAGAAGAGAACCGGCGGCAAAATGCAGAAATAAAGGAACCCTGTAGGTACTCCTGTTCACTTGGGATAGATGTAATTGTCAACAATATCTCGACTCAGTGGGAACTCATTTTCCTGATATATTCCATGGGATGACAGTTCATCGTTTGTTGAAAGTGACTGTAAGACGTGGTGATTGGTTGGGGCCGGTCGTTTCATCATGTTCGGTTGCGTGATGCTGCATCCCGGAGTGAGAAGGCTACGTTTGTGTGGTGTATCTACCGGTGGTACGTAGAATACTCTAGGTATTTTTGTGCTGCTACCACAGAGTAAAATCCAGTGCCGCTGGTTGGCCGCTGGACGTATGTATTTACATGTACCTTGTATATATTGCTCTCCGAGTCATCCATATGGGTACAGGTATGATAGGAAGCGGTGGCACTTCCTTCTAAGAGAATGTTGTTTTCCCTTCAATTTCCTTCTTCGGGCGCCCCAATCAACGTCGGAATACTGAAACGCAACATTCTTCAGCCAGGGGCGTTCCCAAGTCTGGTATGGCGGCGGGGCTTTGTGGGGCGGGCATTAAGGTAGGCAGAGTATGTGGCGGGAATGTTAATGTCTGCTCCCTTTTCTCTGCTCCGTTCTGCTGCCCCATCCATGTCAAGGTCTTTTACCTTTCCCCTCCCAGTTCTGGCGTGGAAACAGGACACACTTCTTTTGAAGAAGAGGGAAGGGTGTGTGCTAGGTGAGACATTCGAGTGTAACCGGGGGCTCGGTGGTGTGGTTGCGAGATTGATTGGGTCTGGCCTGTTCCTTGGCGACCTCCCGAGAAACCTCTCTTGCCCTTTCGCCTTTTGAGGGAGCCGCCGTACAACTCTCGTCTGACTGACTTGCCCTCTGTTTCTGCAACCTTCAATTCTTCTCCGCCCACCCCCTCTCCCACCCACCCCCCCTGTGTGTAGAGCTGGTCTGCGGAAGGGAATTATATAGCGAAAACGCGACTGACGACGGAAGGAAAACGACTCCATTTGAAGAATCTGGGTTCTTGAAGCCGTGTTGTGCAACATCATTAGAGGAAGAAGGGATCATTATATCAAGGAAACCATCAACACAGCAAAGGAAAAATAGGGATAAAGAAAGCCAAAAGAACGAAAGGGTTATTCAAGACGGAATAGGAGCTGGAATATATCAAGGAAAGGGGTCTATTCATCAACGCGTCAATCTATACATCGTGAAGGGTTGTTATAAGGAAAGGGATTAATCACCCAGACGACAGAGCCCCTCCAGCAGACAACCAGGATATACCAGTTTCATCGTGTATCTCACTCTAATCAACTGATACAACCAACTCACTCGCTCATCCGTAGTCCCAGTGATTGTGGGCATCTTTTCTACATCTTCGTTTTCTATATCTTGAATTTCAGCCTCTCTTGCAACGCTGCCCTCGGACGCCGCCGCCGGTCTTTGTTGTCCTCGAACTTAGTTTTTATTCATACCATCTTTCAACGTTTTTGATTGGGTCTCTATAAGCAATCTGTTTTATACCACAGAATTGAGTTTCCAGGCTAGAAATCAAAATATTGTATGTATTATCATGTAATTTCAATCTTGAGGGCCTTAAAGCTAACAACACCAACGCCAGGAGACAAAACCACGACAACCCCACAGGAATTTATAGTGCGACACCAATACCACAACGTCATACCTCCATCATCAGGAAATCCAATAATATCCACTTATCGATAAAAGGAAACCCTCGGATTTTCAAACCATCATTTTTTTATCTCAATATAGCAGCGTATAACGTATAACATGAGTTCTCGCCGGGATCCTCCGGCGGGGTCACGCCCTACCTCACCATTCGGGCGAAGGCCCTCAGTATCAACTCACCAACCTCCTCCATCAACCCCTCAATTTGGCCGAGATCCTCATCTAGCTTATGTAGCACCCACAGCACGCACAAGTGAGGCGCCTGCACGCGAGTTTCCTCATAATGTTCCGAAGGGGCCAAAGGCTTTATATCCTCCTCCTATTCTGGCATCATCGGGCATTGCTGGTGGTACAGGTGGGAATGGTGGCGCCCCTGCTCATTCACCGCATAAATCATCATTTTCCATGTCTTCGGCTGGATTGTCACCTCATCACGGGCATCACTACCCTCAAGCGGGTGGACAGGGGCCTTCATCACGAGGTTCGGTCCCGCCTCCAGGGCCTCGTGCAGCACTTGGAAGAGGGGTCCCCGCAATGCCATCGGCAGGGCAGAGTCGATCCCCTGTGTCGGCGCCTGGATCAGGAGGTGTAACCACTTCAGGGGGACCGGTCTTTTCGACATATGCAACATCAAACGATGGTGATAGGATATATCGTGGAGGAAGGCGGAGATCAAGTGAATGGGAGCAAGGGGGGATTGGAAGAGGCGGTAGGGGTCGAAGCCGGGAAAGGGAAGGGGAATATCGAGAGTATGGCCGTGGCGGAGGGAGTGATTATGGTCCCCGAGGAGGTGGAGCGTTCGGAGGTCCGGGTTTCAGAGAGCGAGAACGAGATTACGGACGTGGCGGGTATAGACCCAGGTCTCGAGAAAGAGAGACGTTTCAGCATAGGGCTAGGTCATCCTCTCGAGAGAGGGATAGAGGGGTGTCAGTTTATTCAAGTGGAAGAGGGGACAGAGATAGTAGGCCGGATAGGGGCGCGTTTACAGGAGATAGGAGATCTACATTCGAAAGAGAGAGGCTAGAAAGAGAGAGGGAAAGAGAGAGGGAACGTGATCGAGAGCGTGAAAGATCATATAAGGCTGATCGAGAACTTAGAGAGGTTAGGGTTGTAGAAAGAGCTAGGGAAGTTTATGATCCAAGCCCGCTGGAACAAAGAGCTAGCCGTGGAGAGAGGGAACGCGAAAAAAGAGAGCGGGATGCTGCAGAGTGAGTATAACAACCTTTTCCATTGTCTCTTTTGTTTTGCACGTAATTTTTATTTCGTTTTTCTGGGCTTGCTATCCTAGTTTTTCTCTTCTTTCTTCTAGCCATCCAGCCGTCCATTCCGTTTGTTGCATTCAAATCCTGTCTTCTCTTAGGAATGGGATGGCTAATCCCGATTGCCTTCTCCACACTGCTCTCGGTATAGATATAATCGCAACCGTGAAGCTGAACGAGCTAGGTTTTCGAGCTCCGCGCCCAATCCAGTACCCTCTGGCACCCCACCGCCGTCAGTTCCAGCATACCATGGAGGCTATCAACCAACCACAGGCCCAACGGGACCCAGCTCTTACTCAGCACCCCAGCAACCGCAGAATCGAATACAGCCTTACCAGAGTGGTAACAACTCTACTACACCCGGACAGTGGAACCCTCCACAGCCACGAAGATCCATTAGTGGAATGGGAGGCGGTAATAATGTGTTGCCACCTATGGCCATGTATCGTGACAGGGATAAGGATCACGAAAAGGAAAAAACCGACAGAGATGTCAATGGAAAGGTAGACTACCGTCTAGATACTCGTAATGACCGTGTCCAACAACCCAAAAAGGAGCCAACAGAAGATGGAAAATTGCATTCACCTTCTTCAACGGAGATGAAAGTACCTACGCCATCCACAACGAATACTCTAGGCACTGCAACGACACCCCTCTCTGCAACATCTTCCAAACCGTACTCACCACCTCCACCGCCCTCGCAGCCCCCATCAGGGCCTAGGGCTCTTCCGCCTACTGGGCCTAGAGGTCTTCCTCCTACCGGACCAAGAGCAGGTATAGACCGAGAAAATCGTAAGGAAGTAGACAGGAAGTGGGGTTCAAAAGAAAGGGGGGCATCGGTAGAGCACGTGTGGAATAATGCTCCTCCGACACAGCCACATCATCTCCACTCTCAGATGCAGCCGCAATCAACGCCTTTGAAGACACCCACTACTGCAGGGGCGCCCACTAGGTCAGATGTTGCTCATGTGCACCCGGATAGGATGAGAGAAATTGAGACCGCTGTTAAGGGCGAGGATGACCGCGATAGGGCTCACAATCAGGTTTCACAGCATATTCCAGAGCAACCATCATCATTTGTAAATGTTGATTCCGGGCCCAACGCCTCCAGTGAGGTTTGGAGCACTCCATCCCACCCTTCTTCACAACGGCCCCCAAGCGCATCCTCATCAGTTCCGTTTAGGCCGGGCCCAGCACCATCAGGCCAGGGTTTCAGGAATATCCTCAATCCCGTCGGTGGGTCTGGGTATGGCAACACAGTCGGCCCCGTACAGCCCACGCCCACAGCCCCCGCAGGCATCAGTAATAGTCCAACAAAAGTAATTCAACCACCTACCGCGCCAAGGGCTTTGCAAACCCCTAGAGGTGTCGCATATTGGCGAGGAGGACGAAATTATAGAGGTTCTAGTTTCGGAGGTCCAATTGTCAAACGAGAAGTTGACGATGGCGGGTTCATGGGGCATAGAAATGGACGCGGGGGCAATATGGGCATGATGAACAATATGAGGGATATAGGGATAGGCAGAGGCAGAAGGAATTCTCGAACTGGCATGGAAGCAGAAAGGCCTGCTGCTAGGGAAGATGTAGAAATGGCAGATGCTCACTCACATGTTAGGCCAAAAGAGGAGAAGAAACCGGAAACACCAATTAAGGAGAACAGAGAGGTGGAAATGCCCGAAGCCCCGAAATCCGTGCCAGAAAAAAGAGAACCAACTCCGGAGAAACCGCCGCCGCCGCCGCCTCCACAGACCCCGATAATAAAAATTGAGGAGGACCCCGAAGATGAGGAGGACGATTTGGTGTTGACCCAGGAAGACGTGATATTCAAAATTACTGAGATTGACAAGGATATTGAGGCTCTTGAGAAAAAGGTCACTGAGCTCGGGAAAAAGAAGGCTCATCATGCTGCTGAGATTGCCCGAATAGATAAGGAGATTGAACATGCTGCAAAGACAGAAGCTGAAAGATCTCCTAGAACCATGGAACCAGAGATAAAGACACCCGTTGAGCAAATGGCCGAGATGGAATTAGATAAACCGGAGCCGGAAAACCCAGAACAGTCAATGGAGGAAGACCACGATATGCAAGAGAAGCTTGAGTTTCTTGAACAGAAGCAGCAACAGCAACAGCAACAGCAACAGCAAGAGGAGCAGAACGAACAGAAAGAGCGGCAACAGGAAGAGAGAGTTGAATTGCAGTTACAACAGCAGCTTCACCAGCAGCAGAAACAGCAAAACCAACACGAGATAGAGTTTGACCACTCGGAGAGTGCGTTGCGAACGCCATCTATTTCACCGCCTCGAACGCCTTCAGCCTCTAATTCGCCAACTTCGGTAGCTTCAATCGAAACCGAGTCCGATGAGTCACTTCAGAATAATGCGAGGCATCTACTGCACCCTGATCTGCCTTTCTACCGCCCTGGCCCCCAGATGAAGCCATCAGAGTATGACTTTTATCAGGAAAATATTGAACATCACGAAAGTATTAGGGACCTAATCATCGCTCACATCTCCGAAGAAAGAAAGACTTCTTACGAGAAGGAAACCAAGTTAAAACGCAAGTTCAAAGACTTATTCGAAACATGGTACAGCGAGTGCCGTGAAATGGACAAGGAATCTATCCGGAAGAAAAAGGGTACCTCCGAGCCAGCAGAGATTGGAGTATCGCCTGTGCTCACGGGAACTGTGGCTCCGGAGACGGTTGGAAGGCGAGCGGGGAGAAGTGCTCCATCAGATGTAGTCAGGAGTGAAGCTGAGATGCAACAGGTTCTCAAGGGTCTAGCCGAAGAGGAGCAACAAAAATCCGCTGACACTAGATCAAAGGACCAAAACGCACGGGAAGCTGTCGTTCCAGATATGATTATGGATCCCACGGAGCTTTTGATCTTCAAAGACACAAACAGACTTCTGAGAACTGATGATGAAATATTGATGGCATTCAGGTACGATGTCCCGGCTGATGACTGGTCTGATAGCGAGCACAAGCTCTTTTGTGAAAGATATACGATGTTTCCCAAACAATGGGGTAAGATTGCCCAAGAAATAGAAGGCCGGGACTTCAAGGCGTGTATACTCCACTATTACATGACCAAGAAAACATGCATTTACAAAGAGCTTGTCAGAGGACCCGGTAAGAGAGGGAGGACGAAAGGGAGGAGAAAGGCGGCGAGTAGTCAGAGAACGAGGCAAAGCGCTTTAATTGCAGACCTTGGCCGGAGAAGCGGAGTTGGTGAAGAAGATGAAGGTGCTGATTCAGAAGACGTTACCCCCGCCGCAATGACCGAGACAGGAAGACCAAAACGGGCTGCTGCACCAGTTTTTGGTGCCGACGCGAATAACAACAACAATAATAATCTTGACCTAGAGTTATTGGGTACGAACGGCAAGAGAGGTGGTAGAGAATCGAAGGGCGGCGATGATGATGGGGAGAAAACTGAGAGAGGCACAAAACGGGCCAGAGGTGGTAACAACGCAGGGCGAGAGAAACAGAAGAGAGTCAAGGCACCAGCTAATCCACCTGTTCAGCCCGCAATACCCGCTCCTATCCAACCCGTTTTGGCCCCCGTTCCTGAAAAAGTCGAGAAGAAGGAAGAGAAGAAGAAGGAGGATCTTCGAGAGAGGGAGTCTGATGCTGTCTCCGCACTGACCGGGATGGGAATGGCCCTCGAGATATTACCAGAGCCTATGATTATAGAAGACAATAATCCTTTAATCACCCAACAGCCTAACCAGGACCAATTGGCTGAGCAACCACCTACACCTCTTCAACAGCCTCCTACTCTTCCCACAACGCCTCCCATACCTTTACCGACTACACCAACCCCGAAAAAAGATAAGGGTGACCGAGCGGAGAAACCAATTGCGCAAACCTCGAGTTATTGGAGCGTGCCGGAACAAAGTGATTTCCCTCATTTATTGGCGTCCTTTGGCACGAATTGGCCTCAGATTAGTCTAAGACTAGCGTCGAAAACGACTGTGATGGTGAGCCAAACTCTTGAAATCCCTCATATGTACCTCTCTCAATGATGAAACTACTAATTATCCACGCATAGGTGCGAAATTTCTATACTAGGCAAGTCGAGAATGGTAAAAGCGAGTATAAGGAAATCGCCGAGAGCGCAGACCGTAAAATCAAGGCTGGGGAGGTAATGCCAGATCCTCCCCCACCGGCTGCATTACCAAAGAAGCGATACGAGACGACGGTTTCGACGCCGAGAATGATAATATCAAATGCGGATCCCTCAGCGACGCCGCCACCACCAGGCTCAACGGGGACACCAGGGCCATCTACTATGTCTTCGCTTCCTAGTACTCCTACACCTATACCGATCCAGATGCCGATCCAGATGCCAGTGCAGGTGCAG